AGAATTGAGTAAATTAGTGCAAGCTGATGACTAAAATTATATGAAGCTCCGGAGACAGATATATAATTAATTATTGAGTTATATAAAGTGATACCACACGATAATTTTTCGTTTAATGAATTATATTTATCTAATGTAGGAAAGCAAGTTGGTTTACCCATCTACCATATTTAATTTTTTCAGTTAGCTCCATTAGTTATCTATTAAATAAAAAGTCTCACTCAATAAAATCTATACGTTTGAGATATACAATATGCATATATATAACCCATTTATTATTTCAGATATTATTGCTGAAATCATCCAAAAATTTTTATTATAGAATCTAGATAAATTTTGTTGGATAAATTGCACATGGTATAAAGAAATTCAGCATGAACTCTGAAAAAGATGAAAAATACAAGTGTTAAAAGCTCACGAATTAGAACTTGAAAGAGATAAAAAAATGAGTGAAGCACTAGAAGAAGAATATTCGGATTATGAGAAAATGCAAAGAAGTATTAAATTAGATATAACAGTTAATTATTGGCTTAAGCAACTTGAATATGCTAAAAAATGGGTAATAATTGAAAAGTGTATGCTTATTAATGGAATGCTTTATGAACAGGAAAGGAAAATCGTTAAATATAACATATAACAAATTGAAAAATGTAATAATTATCTGAGGTTAAATGGATGATTGGGATTGGGCAGAATTGACTTATTAATAGTGGAGCTAGACTCGAAGAGTTATTACAAGGTAATAGTGTCAGAGACATATAAAATGTTCTTCATAAGGGTAATAGCTAAAGATAGTATGCTTCCACCTCAGTAAGTACTTAAACAATATTAAATTTCTAGACCGTGAATTTTTTGAAGAATATCATTTACTTCTTCTTTGGATCTTTTTTCTACAATCTCTTCTTGATTAGCCAGTTCGAGATATAATTTATATAAATTTTCAAGACTGGCGTATACTTCTTTATTATACCAATTCTTGAAATCTGCCATTCTTTCATTATAAGTTTTCTCGTTTGGGACACGTTATTTTGTAACATATCTAACATGATCTTCTAGATCTCTTTTTTGTTGTAAAGTTTTAAGATAGTTTATATATGATGCTCCTAATTTGTCATATTTTTTGGTACCTTGACTATATGCTACTTTAATCACTTCAACTAAAGCGGATTCGATATTTTTGTAGTCTACCATTTTGAATATTGTACTTTTTATTATATATTACTTAATCAGGTCTTTTGTTTAAATAAAAAATATCTCTTTTACCCATATCTGAAAAATATACCTATTATTATATACACAATTCTGGAAAAATCTGCGGACGTGGAAGCCGACGTCCTGAAGGATGCTATGAACATTGGAGGTTTAAAAAACGTGTTCCCTGTAAAGAATATAGTAGTTGTAAAAAATTCACTGCTGCTGTTTCCAGAACATATAAAGATCATGCTGGTGACTTTTATATTAAGCAGTTTTATAATCGAAAACTAAACAAGAACATGGCTTCTTCGCCTGCTATGAATAAAAAAAGCATATAAAATTACACCAAAGATGACAACACGAAAAAAAATGCTATACATTAAATCATATCAGATACTTTATTTTTTCGTTATCAGTTTCAGCTTTCTACTATTTTAAAATTTATAAGAAAGATAGTGTAATTTATAATGATTAATAAAAGATTAAAGCCTCTCTAAATATACAATTATTTCACTAGTTAAATTCCCATTAAAAAAACTCAAAACTATTGAAGATCCCAAATTATTGAATTTGATAATTTATAAAAAATTAAAGATATACTAGCTATGCATAAAATTACATCAAATTTCAAATATTGATTTTTTTTTTATAATGATTTAAGAGTTCTAAAGCTGTAAAATTCACAAGAAATACACTATACAAGAAAGCTTTCAATCTGATTCCTTAATTAGTTTTTGTCTAATGTTCTCAAGAAAGCGCTAAAAAGGTCAAAAAAGTGCAAGAACCAAAGGTGTAAAATCGAGGAACACAAAACAAGAAGTCTGTTCGCCCCCCTGCTGCTATAGTAAAAGACTCAAAATCTAAAGAAATGACTAGGAAGTTAACAAAAAAATATCAAAATTGTTAAAAAATTTTTTTAATATTTTACTATCTTTTTTTTACTATAAAAAACTTATAGAATATTAAAAAGATAACTATGTTTCACTACACTTTATAACTACTTTACATTTACTAAAAGGTTCATGCTCACAGTGATAGAATGCTAATTAGCAATTAAATAAGATAACTAGCTTCATTACGCTTTGTAACTGTTTTGTATATACCTAAGGATATGTACTCACAATAATAGAGAATTGAATAATAATCAAATAAGATATCAAAAAAATATACCATTCATATTATATATAAAAAAAAATACATCACTTATATGATTTATATAAGTTATCAAAATCATGATAAAAACTAGAAATCTATAGAAAATGAATAGAGTTAACAAAAAAAAATATCAAAATTATTCTAAAAAGTCTATTTTCTTATTATTGTATTTAGTTGAAAGTATTAATAAATATATTGAAGATTCTAATAATGATAAGTTATATAATAAACTATTATGAATATCAATTGGTGACTTTTGATAACTCAACTGTACAGTATATTGTTTTATAGATATGTGCTTTCAAAAAGATAAACTGAAATATTTTTATTTCTCTTTTTAAAATAAATATAGTTCTTTGAATATTTTATTACTAAAAAGGGGTTTTAAAATATTTCTCATGTTTTTAATTTTATATTGAAATTAAGAATATCAACTTCAAATGAAAGTTTGGAAATAGAAAGTTTTACTTAAATTGATAAAACTCAAAACTGTTGACTAAATATTTTTTAATAATAATAGTAATAATATTTATTAAAAAAGTTATTACATATAATAGTTTTTAATTTTATAATTAAATCATAAAAACATTATTAAGTAAATTTATAGCTAAGAATTAAGTGCATATACTGTAAAAATTTCAGATCAAAAACTTATAAATTGATGTTTTAATGACCAAATAACTGTTTTTTATTATTATTTATTTCCAATTTTCCAATTTTGGGTAAAACAGGTTTCCAGTTTGCATCACATTTGCAATGTGCACTCATAGACTTGCCCTCTGTCGTACAGCCAACATTGTGGCAAATGCTTCAAAAGATTGAAAATGATCAGCATTATCAGTTATTCATAATGAGCTTACGATCTTTAACTCGCTTTGTAGGTCTACAATATAATTGACAAGATTGGAATAAGGTCTTAAGTTATTGATCGATTAATTTTTTTTTATAACAAAAATAATTAATAGGTTTCTTTAAGCCGTCCTTTGGTTAATTATTCATTTTCACCAACGAAATCATACTCAAAAACATTTAATAATAATAATGGAATATCAAGATTAGTGATCAATCCTTTGTTATGTAGAAATTTATCTAGTGAGTTGAAAAAATCATTAGATGAGGTATTTTCCTTTAATTGAGATGTATTTGATTAATTAATTTTTTATTAAAAAAAATGAAAATGAACAATCTTTTGATCATAATCCTTTTTTTTTTTAGAAAGTTTTAAAAAATGATATCGTGTTATTCATGAAAGGTACACCCAACGAACCGCAAGTAACTAGAAGTATTCAATTTTTTTTTTTTTCTTTTTCATTTTAGTCTTATAATCCAAGAAATTTTTTTATAATTCAATTTTATTTACTCATATTGTATTATATTTTTCCTACGAAAATGATAAATGATAGTGTGGATTTAGTAGAGCTGTAGTTCAAATCTTTGATGCTCAAGGTATTGATTATTTTAGACTTATTTTTTTCTGAATAAATAACTTTTAAATGATTTCTCATTGAATTATTCATTGAACGAACTATTTAATAATAATAATAATATTATTATTATTATTTATTATAAGGTGTTGATTTAAAAAAAATCAAAGCTTTTGATGTTTTAGAAAATGAAGAATTAAGAAAAGGAATCAAAGAATATTCGTAAGCATATCAAAAATAATTAAAATAATTGAAAAATTTCAATAAGATCTGATTATTGATGATTCTTTTTTAGGAATTGGCCAACAGTTCCACAAGTTTACATTAAAGGAGAGTTCGTTGGTGGATGTGATATTATGCTTAATATGCATCAATCAGGTGAATTGGAAGATTTGTTGGTAAAAGAAGGGTTGATAAGTCTTTCTGGAGAAGAAGGTTCAGCCGAAGGTAGTAATGAACAAAAACAACAACAAACGTAAACAAAATTAACAATTAATAATTACAGTTTATAATATTTAGGAATTTTTTAGATATATGATAGTTCAACATTTAACAATTTAACCTTTTAAGTATTTTTTTTTTTTTTGATATTTATTAAATTTATTAAATTAAAAAATAAAAATATATTCATCTTTAAATAATTTTTTATTTTTTTTTATTTTATAAGATTTTTATTTTAAAATCTAAATAAAATACACATTTTACATTTGAGATCTTGTTAGTTATCTTCAAACTATTATTAATTAATCTACGACCTGTTATATTAATCGTAGAATTTTCTGCTACCAAGATCTTTCAATGTTTATTATTATGTATATATATCTTTACGTAATTAATTAATTCATTCATTTTGGTCATTCACTGCAAACTTTTGTTCCAACCATTTTTTAACATGAGAATAAAATGATTCAAAAACATTTCGATCCTTACCATCAGTCCAGGAAAATGTGACTTTAGTATTTGTGGCATTGCTTTTCCATGGTTCTAAACGAAAAGTGAATTCAAATAAAGGTTCAAATATAGTTGATTCATCAGTTGCCGTCGCTGTTGATGTTGATGTTGTTACTGATGTTGCTGATGTTGTTGGTGATGATGATGATAATTCTTTTGATTCCTTTTGACATTCAGATGATTTCATTCTCTGCCTTCTAGCAGCACGTGACCAGGTATTGGTTTTAGCACTACCGAAAAACGTTCCATTTTCATCATTGAAATTCCCATCAATATCTAATTCATTTAAATGTACTAAAATACAACCTATAACGTCATGAGAATCTGCAGGTATCCCGAAACAGAATTCAGTTTTTGGTTGTGAAATTTTACGAAGTTTTTTAGATGTTTGATTTATAATGTTCTAAAATAAATTATAATAATAAATTCAAAAGAATTTGTTATAAAATTTATAAAAAAAAAAAAGAATAAATAAATAAATATAGACTAAAATTATAAATTCAGAAATGTTACCGTAGGAGGTCGTTGACTTCCAAAAGACCAACCAATACCCCATCTTCGAGTTTGTCCTTGACAAAATTCAGTGACTACATAATTATCAATCTTGATATATGATAAAAAAAAAGCAACCATTTATAAAATATCAATATTATAAAAAAAAAAATTAATCCAAAGAAATAATAAGAATAAATAAATAAATATATATATATATATATATAACGTACCCCTGTTCTTTTTAATTCTCGGACGATTTTATTAACAGTTTCTAATCGGCCAATCTTAGAAGTATACCATCTACATAAGAAAAGATAACAAATATAACAAAGATACGAAGATAATAAATAGTAATATAAACGATAATATAAACAGTAATATAAATAATAATATATATTTTAAAAATTTTATGTTTAATATTAAAATACCTTATCTTATTTCTTAAGACAAGACTTTCATCTAGAATATCTTTAATAAACTGAAATTCCCCACCTGGTGTAAATTTTTCACGAGATGTACCATTGCATACCTGATTAAAGTTACGTATGTTTCATATAAATATATTAAAGAAGAAATAAATAAAAGAATAAAATTAAAGAATGAATAAATAAATTATTGATAAATTACTGATAAAGGTGGTGTCTGTTTAATTTCAACTCCTTTTTCATATTGTTCTTGACTTTCATAAAAGGGAGGATTACACATGCAAAATGCAAATCTAATTAAGATATAAATAATTATTTTTAATAATAATTTTAAAATTGGTTTAACTATTTTAATTATATAAATTAATTTGTCACCTGATATTATTATTAATCATCACTTCTTCGGAAAGTAAAATTTTCTTATCCGTTTTGTTAAGGACAACCGAAATTTTATTTTCTAAATTATTTCGCAATACATTATTTTCTGCATATTCGACAGATTTTTCATCAATCTCTTTTAAGAAAAATATATATATTTATATATTTATTAATTATTTTAAATTATTATTATTTATTATTATTATTATTATTATTATTGTTATTTAAACCGAGAAGAATTTTTTCATATTTTTACTTACCAGTAGCCAACATTACCCAATTTTTGTTTAAGGTACAAGCCAATAATGGGTAAATACATGAAGCACCAGTCCCACTATCGTTACAAATATTAAAATGGATTCATTTTGTTATAATTAAATTATTAAGATAGAGAAGTCCTAAAATAAGGCTTACATATCTATTCCATATATAGTTCGATCTTGTCGCGTTTCCGAAATTGTTATTAAATCTTCAATCCAGTGAACATAATTAAGTCTAATAATAAATTATATTAACAATTACTTTATATACTCTTGTTAATAAATATAAAATTACATTGATTAATTAATTTTTAAATTATTAATTATCTACCTGTTTGGAATCTAATTAATAATAAAAATTTATGAAATTCGCATCAAATATAAAATAAACTTAATATCAAGGATTTTTAAAAAATTTCAAAATTTTCCCACCAAAAAAAAAAAAAAAAAATCAATAAAAATCAAAATCAAAATACCGGTGGACATAATGAGTCCAAGGGAATTTCTAAAATCAGGTTAAAATCATTACGTAACAGACAATATGTGAGTTCTCTAATAATAATAATAATAGAATGTTTTAAAATTTTAAACAGATTAATTTTCGTGATTTCGTAATAATTTCAAAGATATAATTAAATATTATAATCAAAAGAAAATCGAATTATTATTATTATTATTATTATTATTATCACCTTACGGCTTCAGGATTCTTAAAATCAATATATGGTTTTCCCTCTTTTGTATATTTTACACTATATATATATATTTTATATATTTTAAATTAGAATTCACTCTTTCATCAAAAAAAAAAAGAAAGAAAGAAAATATACATACTAAGGATAAAATGAAGAATATTTAAATGCCAGAACTGCAAAATCGGGAGGATTATTTCGATATCTGTTACGAGAATGCATTTGTCCATTATTGTTTTCTTCCTTTTCAATACTCTCGGTATGAGACCTTTTACCCAGAATTACTTTATTTGAAGAAGATTCTGAAGCGGAAGTAGAAGAAGTAGTAGAAGTAGTCGAAGAAGTAGACATGATTAACTCAACGTGAACGTAACTTTTAATAACGAGTCTCCACCTTTTTTTATATATATTTTTAAGGTTAGAGTAAAGAATAAAAAGTCTATCGATTTTTGTATCATCAGTTTTATGTAATTTTTGCTGAAATTATGGAATTGTGATGACGATCATCATAGTCAAAAGCAAAACGCAAAAACTATTCCTTTCTTATAATTTTGATAAAATTAAAATTGTATATTAAATAATATATATATATAATTTTAATCTAATTTTTTTTTTTTTTTACATTTATTTTCTTTATTTTTGTGATTTATTTATTGAATAAGTAAAAAAAAAAATTATTATAATTTGACACTTTTCATTTAACTCTCTTCTTTTTCTTTTTACTTTTGATTCGATCACTTATTGCTTGTTTTTCTTTTTCTTCTAATGCTCGTTTCTTTTTTAATGCGGTTTCACGTTTTTTCTATTTATAAAATGAATAATAATAATAAATGATAATAATAATAATAATATAATTATTATTAATCTATTTCTTTATTCACTAGATGATATTTTTGATGATAATAATGATAATAAAAATAATAAAGTACCATTTTCTCAGCCAAACGTTCTTCTTTTAATTCATTTTCCAACTTTTTCATTGTTTCCCTCTCAGTTCGTTCTTTTATCCGTTCATCCCAATTTTTTCGTAAAGTAGGGGAAAGTTGTGAACGCCGCGTAGCTGTTTTTTTATATTTCCATATCTTGCCTAATAAATTATTATAATTATTCTTTTAATTAATAAATAATTATTATTTTATCTTTCTATTTTGTTTTATATATATATCAGATATGTGAATATATATGAACCTGATATTCTTCGTCCTATTATTTGCTGTATTTTTGGTTCAGGGTTTGTATTCATTGCAAGAGATTCTTCACTTGACATTTTTATTAAAGAATATAAAAGAATATAAAAATAAAAGTAATTCTATTCGAAAAGATTATTGCGTAATAATCATTTATGTAAATTTATCGAACGATAAATCTATTTTTTTCACTTTGTTACTTCTTTTATACTGCAAAAAAAAATTGATGTTACACCAAACCTTTTTAGATAGTACTGTATTCTGTTTTTTTTTTGGTCTTGATATAAAAAAAAACCTGTTAAAGCAGTGTTTAAGTAAAGATGTTTAATTGTTAATATTAATTTTTGTTTACTGAGATTATAGTTCAAAGCTGAATACTGTTTTTCCATATTAAAGTCAAAGAGAAAACATATTTTTGAGTGATCAAATTTTGATTGAAAGAAAAAAAAATTATCTGTTCAAGTATATTATTATATATAAAATCCTGGGATAGCAAGTTAATATATGCTCGTTACACAAACGAGATTATCATTATCCAATAAACAAAAAAAGTGTTTCTCGTTAATGTTGGTAAGAAGACCTTCTACTTTTAATACTTTCCATTATTTAAAATTCAACTTTTATGTTCGACAAAGCGTTCTCTTTTTCAGATCTGATAATATCAACTATACATATTCTTATTCAATTAATACAATTAATACATCAACCGAACAAGCTAAACCAGATTTATCAATGAACAACGCAACGATCGAACGAGTTAAATCAGAGTTTTCAATGAACACCTCATCGACCGAGCAAACAAATTCAAATTTGGCAATCAATCAAACAAATTCAGATTTGAGTATGATAATTTTTAGATATTATTATTATAAGTGACAAGTTTGAGATTATATTACAAAGTTTTACTTTTATAGTTGATTTTTTTCAGTTAAAAGGAAAACGTCCGAAATTAGAGTCCCTGAAACTTCACTTGAGGCAGAAGAAACAACTTTAATTAAGGAAGAAGAAACTTATAAAAAACCAAAATTAGAAGAAATTCAACAACAACAACCACCACCTAGTGGTAGGAAAAAATATACTACAGCTAAAGACAGACGAGAACATAAAACTAAAAATTTTAAAAATAGACATGGTAATAGATTAGATGAAGATATTAAAAAAAAATCACGAACCAATGACGAAAATAATAATAATGACAATAAGGAAATTGAATTGAAGAATGAAATTAATGAAAATGGTGATGATAAAGTTAACGACGAAAAGAAGGAACCAAGGAAACCGAAAAAGAAAGTAGCAGTTTTATTAGGATTTTGTGGTACGGGTTATCAAGGAATGCAAATGTAAGATAGATTTTATGAAGATGAATTGATATTAATTATTATTATTATTATTAATTATTAATAATTATTAATTATTAATCTTTTTGATATTTTATTATTTATGATAACAAAAGAAATCGAAATGCAAAGACTATTGAAGAAGAACTCTTCAAAGCTTTTGTTGCTGCAGGTGCTGTATCCAAGGATAATTCGGATGACCCTAAGAAGGTATAAATTATAATTTTATTAAATTTCTTCATTATTATTATTATTTCTATATATATATATATATATTAATTTTAATGGATTAAATGATGTTAGGTCAGTCTAATGCGTGCCGCAAGAACGGATAAAGGAGTTCATGCTGCTGGAAATTTAATATCGATAAAGATAAGTAGTATAAATTATGAAATTCTAAATTATATAAGTTCCGATACGAAAATTCATAATCTTATTTGAGATAAATTTTTATTTGATGGTTTATACTTAATAGTTGATATTCCTGATGTTGTTGAAAAAATCAATGAACATCTTCCCGAACAAATACGTGTATGGGGTAAATAACAAACAAATTATAATTTCATTAATTATCTTATTTATTTATTTATTTATTTCATTTTATTGTTATTTACTATATTTTTTAATGTATTAATAAAGAAATCTCTTAACAATTTTCTCTAATATTTTTCTCTAATATTTTTCTTTAATAGGTTTTGTTAAAACTATTCGATCATTTCACGCGAAAACATTATGTGATTCTCGTATATATGAATATCTTATTCCCACATACGTATTTGTTCCATACGTACAAAGTTCAATTAATCAAACTGAGAAAAATTTGAAAAAAGAAATTAATTTATCCAATATTAATCCAGATATTCAAAAAGAAAATTTTAATAATTCATTAGAAAATTGTTCAGATATTCAACAAGAAAGTAATAAATCGTCAAATATTCGACGAATAATTGAAGTTCCTTTGACTACATCCGAAGAAATGATTGAAAAACGAAAATATCGTATTCCTTCAGAAACATTGGATTATGTTCGACAATGTTTTAAAGCATATGAGGGTACACATAATTTTCATAATTTTACAATTGGGCGTAATCCTAAAGAAAGAAGTTGTAATAGATTTATTACGAGTTTTGAGGTATTGGAATTTGAATAATTATTTATATATTCTTTAATTTATATATTTTCTTTGCATTCATTTTCTATATATATATATATATTATTGCTTAAGGTTTGTGAACCAAAAATTATAAATAATTGTGAATGGTTAAGTCTTAAAGTACATGGACAATCTTTTATGTTGCATCAAATCCGAAAGATGGTTGGTAAGTATTCAAAACCATTCAAATCTTTTTTTCTATTAATACATATATATATATATCTCTCTATATTTATATATTATTTTATACGTATTTAACTTTTCTTCGTTGATAATAACAACATAAATATGTAATATGTCATGTTAGCACTGATTGTTATGATGGTAAGGACGACAACTCCTGTCACGCTTATCCCTAGAACTTTCGATCCAATAAAGATCAATATACCAAAAGCTCCTGCACTGGGATTATTACTTGAACAGGTATCTTCTTTATTATTTCTTTATTATTATAAAATATATCAATTTAAATTATTTAATCTAAAAATTTTAAATAGCCTGTGTTCAAATCATATAATAAAAAATGTATGGGTAATGGAAAAGGCTTAATAGAATTTGAAAAACATCAGGTAATCATTTTTATTATTATTATTGTTATTATTATTATTATTATTAATTTTATCATTATTATAATTAATTAATTAAATTGATTATAATTAATTAATTAAATTGATTAATTTGCAGGATAAAATCAATGAATTTAAATTAAAATATATTTATTCAAAGATACAGGAAGAAGAATTTACAAACAATACGTAATTACATTATATATTTATTATCTTTATTTATTTATTTATTCATTAAACAAACGTCGCGTTATTTTGGAACATTTATTAAGAATTTTTTTTTTTTTTTTGATGATGACGAAAATCGTTTTACAGGTTCCAAAATTGGCTTAATTCTCTAGATTATCATGAAAATGATTTTGGATACTTGAATTCCGAAGGAATTATACCAGATAGTTCCACTGTAAAACAAGGCGAAAAAAAAAATTCATCACAAATTGATTTAGATGATGATCCGGAAGATAATAATATTTCTGATGATGATGAATATGATGGATGAATGAATGATTCTTTAATCAAAAATTCTCTAAATTTTACATTTTAATTTGTCGCACCACGTGTTAAAATGAATATAATTTATTTGTATTACTATTTATTAGCATTTATATCCGCATTTTCTTCTTAGATTTTTTAGGTTTACTATTCTATCAATAATAATTTATCAATAAATCAATTTGCATCCGATAACCACCCACCAATGAGTTCAATAACGGATTTACATTTGATTTACCTGGTGTTACCTTCCTTTTCCTTTTTGAGGATAAAAAAAAAAAAAACAGGAGATTTTATATAAATACTGAAATTTTCCATTAATTAAGTAAAAAAAAAATGTATTTTCCTACAGAAACTAATAAAGAATTATCCGTCAGACTTACAGAAATAGAACTAAAACCATCTAAGGTCTGCTTACAAAAAGTGTTAGATCTTGATAAAAGAAATGAAGTACACTCTAATAAAGGCTGTTATTCTCGTGAGGCTTCTAGTTACAAATTAAATCGTATTACAGGAAACAGGTATATTAATATAAGGTATATTTATAACAAAGGAAATAATAATAATCATAATAAAAGTTTGGAGATTTTAAATTGTCGAGACCAAATTCAAGATGAAAAGATGCAAAAGACAATGATATCACATGATACTTCTAGTTATAATAGTAGTTATAGTAGTTATACTAGTTCTTTATGTACTTCTTTAAGAAACAAACATAAGAGAAAAAGTAAAAGAAATGAAAAACTTGAAGAATGGGTTCGAACTCATGAAAATTCTAAAGGTATAAAAAATAATAATAACAATAACAAAGATAATAATAATCAGATTGAAGGTAAAAAGAAAACCCTTGAAGCTAAAGAATTAGATGAAAACGATTATATATATAAATGGCTAAACGGTCTTCAAGGGGATAAATCTTCAAGTTCTTCTTCTTCTTCTTCTACTACTGCTGCTTCTTCAAATAAAATCAATAACTCAATAATTAATCAATTTCATTATACTATTTCTCAATCCAACAATCATATTTGGTTGACATTAACTTACAACAACTTGTATAGTATTCATAATGTTTTATTCTCATTTCCAATGTACACAACTCCATTCGAAAGTCTTACCCATCTTGACATTTCTCATAATCAACTTTCTTGGATTCCCGCACAAATAGGGCAACTTGCTAGTTTAAGATATTTCAATTTATCTTATAATCTTATTAGGGAGCTACCATGCCAAATGGTTTTAAATTTATCTGGATTACAACATCTGGATATTCGAAATAATCCTTTGGCAAAAAAGGAATCAGAAAATAATAATAATTATTATAATAATTATAATAATTATAATAATTATAATAATTATAATAATAATTATAATAATAATAATGATAATGATAATAATAATAATAATTTTGGGCTTGTCTATTTAACTAATTCAACAGTTCCGAAACTCACTGAACTATGTTATCGTACATATTTGAATCATAATAAAGAACTTTTAACCTCGAAATATGTAACTAAATCTAAATATTTAACAGAAGTAGTTCGTTCAACTTTATTAGAATTAAATAAGCGTGTATGTGCTATCTGTAATTGTTTACACACTGAGGCCGCGGCGACTTTGCTCCATTTTACATGGGTTTGCTTAGTGCCAGACGTGCCCTTAAGGTACGATTTTTGTTCGGTCCAATGTGCTAGACAATTCGGGAAAGAACTTGCACGTGAGAAGGCCATAGAAGATGGGAAACGACAACATCGAAGAGAAAGATTTGGTTTAGGAAATAACGGTGGTGGTCAAGACTCCTCCTTTACTACTACTAACCCTTCCTAATTCTTCCTAATTTGAGAATGTATATATATATATTTAGCAATTTGTAGGTATTTTTTATTTATTTATTTATGTTTTTTTTGGATTGAACAAATTTATTATTTTTCTATTTTCAAAGAACGTACGTGTTAAAAAAAACATTGATTTTTATTTTTTTTTCAAAAAAATAAAATAAAATAATAATCAGTTTCTCGCAAATTTTCACTCATGAATTTACATTCAAGACGTGTAAACATGATAATCAATCAATAAAAAGAAATTTGGATTCTAATTCTATTTATTACAATTATTATTTATTCATTTTATTTTTATTTTTACAATTTAATGTTCTTTTTTTTTATTATTTTTTTTCCTGGAAAAATGTAAAAAGATTTATTTTCTATTTTTATTTTTATTTTTATTTTTTTATTTTCATTGTTTAAAAAAAACTTCTTTAGTATTTTCATATATTTTGTCTGCCAATGTAATGGGATCTGTGCCCCGAATTGAAGCTAATATGTATAATACTTGACTATCATCAAAATTTAAAAGTTGTTAAAAAAAAAAAAAAAAAAACAGAATTTTCTTTAAATAAAAATACGAAGAATTTTTTTTTTAAAAAAAAGAGTATTTGAAATGTTGATAAATACTAACCCAATACAACAAGGTTCGTTCCTTCCTTTCACCATGAATCCTGTTTGAAACTTTTCTTTCTTACATGTTGGTGGTCGATACAGATCCATCATTTCTTTAGAAAGATTTAAATAGGAATGAGAAGCATGAGTTGGACGAATGTCACACCACGGAGCATCTGAAATATTTAACGTAGACATTAATATGTGTAAATGTCAACAATACAACAATATCATAATTTCGTGTTTAATTATTAAATATATATCAATATACCTGTTTCTATCATTAATCGATCTTCAGGAACTCGTTTAGCCACCTCGAGATTTTCTTTGGTTTTCAATGAACTATACAATAAAAAAACGTTAATTTAATTAATTTATTTTATTTGTTTATATTTCTATATAAATAAAAAAAAAAGAGATTCAAAAATAAAAATTTCTTATAAACACAGATTCAAAAAAAAATATATATATATTTACCATCCATTAATGCCAATATATAATCCTAATGAAACGATACGTTCCATTTCTTCGAGATTACAAGTAATCGAATGAACAACTCCATGTTTAAATTTATGTCTATTCTTTTTTACAAGATGTATATATACAATTGAATATGTATTTTATTAAAGATAATCATTAATTTTGTTTTCATTTTTCTCGTGTTTTTAGAGAAATTAACAAAAAAGGATATTAATAAAGTCAGTTCCCGTGTTTCTGTTATGAAGAAACATTGGAAGGCCAGTTAATTCTGAAAGTTGAAATTGGCGTTCGAAATATCTAAAAAAAAAAAAATTTGAAATAAATTATAATTGATTCCTTCCTTCCTTCCTTCCTTAATTGTGCGGGAGATTCATTTTAATATTTTTTTTTTTGAAAAATACATTACTTTAATTGAATTTCCTTTGGACAAAATTTGAATCGATCATAATCTATGAGAAATAAAAAAATGTGAACCACAGAATTGAAAATTCTCTAAATTCTCTAAAATTTCTTAAATAGTAACTACTTTGATAATGATGATGATGATAATGGTGTCATAACATCAACATAATATTACCAAGACCACATTCTCCAATGGCTACCACTTTATCTTTAGCAGATTCACTTGTGACAATATCTACAAGTTTTTGATAATATTTATCGGGACCACCAGGATCTTCTTCAAATTCATTACATCGAGTAGGATGACAACCAACAGTTGAATAGAGATTATCTAAATTAAATAAAGGCAATTAACAATAGAAATAAATCATATGATCATTATACTTTAAATTGATTGTTAATTACCATGATTCTTTGCTAATTCTAATGCCTCGTTACATTCTTTCACATTACCAGCTGTCACGATGATTTTTTCGACACCAGCCTTTACTGTACGTTGTAACATATGCGAAAAATCATCTTTTATATGAAATTAAGTCAAATAAAAATCAATCACCAATATAATTAATCCAAAATTCAATATAATTAAATAATTCAATATAGCCAATTCATCATAAAATTACCTTCATGAACTCGCCTTCCCCGATAAAACCCACGAAAAATTGGATCAGTCAAATTTGCCCCAATTTCTAATTATTATTAATTATTATTAATTAAAAAAAAAATACCAAAAGAAAAAATAAATTTATAAAAAAAAAAAACTTTTACCAATGAATTTCATTATTTAAGAAATTCAGGGAAAGAGAATCAAATGATTTTCATAAGATTCTGATAAAATTTAGGTTGACTTAACGTAACACCACAGCTGTATGATTTGATAATTATTGCTATTTTAATATAGATCTTTTAAAATATAAAATATATAAAAATATTTACCCTTGTTTAGAACGATTAATTACTCTCATTTAACGAAGACTTTGAGAAAATTTTCTAACGTTATTTTGCAAAAATGGTTTACTTTACTTCTTGGATGTCTTCAGATTGGGTAAGAATCTAACAATAATTAATATAATTGATATTTAATATTCATTTTTATATATATATATTTATATTTTTTAAATTTTTTATAGGCGGCCTTCTTAAACGCACTTAGCTTGGCTGACTTGTAAGTCTTTCGATTACAATTAATCACATTTAATCACAATTTAATTTTTTTTTTTTTTTTAATTCTAACAATAAATTTTTCACACTTCAGGATCACTGCAATGCCAGCTTTTCTTGTTATTTATACTGTACTTCCCAGTGCTATTTATACAGCACGACAGAGAAATAGTAAAGGAAATTGGTATATTCCACCAGAACCCACAGATGAATCATCATCAAAGCAAGCAAAAATGGTAACTATTAATCATGCAGTTATAATAATAGTTTGTTTTTGTTTTATTTTTAATTGAGGATTTGACCCCTTTTTTCTTTTTCCTTTTTTTTATTTTTATTTTTATTTTATTTTTATTTTTTATTTTTATTTTATTTTTTATTTTTTATTTTAATTTTATTTTTTTATTTTTTATTTTTATTTTTTTTTATGTAGCTCTTATTAAAAAGTTTGGCAGTATTATTTAATATTAAATACATTGCACAATATATTTTTGGACATCCAAAACCTGAAATTTTTGTAACAGGAGCTTTGTTGACAGTAGTGGTAATTATCATCAAATTTATTTATTTTTAAATAATATTATTTAATATTAACTTTAAATATTATTAATTAATCAATTAACCATATTTTTATATTTAATAATATACATTTAATATATATATATATATAATAATAATAATAATAAATAGTTAATTACAGTAGTAATATATCACTTTGAAAACATGGGAATCGTTAAACCAGCTATTCCACTTTCGGTTTTATGGGGAGTAACAACTCTCACCACGTTTTATTATACCACTTCTACTCATGATATTACACATGAAATATATTTGATTTCTAGTTTATTAATGTTTATCTTAGAATTTGCTGCTCCACGTTCATCGTCGAAAGTTCAGGTATGTGTTGCACGAAAACGTGCGCAAAAAAAAAAATCAACTATTGATTTAAACACATATTAATAATTATCATTCATTCATCTTTTTGTTACCTTCATTATTAGCATCTCACTGATTTAAAACAAAGTAACGAAAAACCTGAAGTAGATGTTAACCACGAGAAAGAGAAAGTGGGAGAGCATGAAAAAAAGACCGAGCATGTGGAATAATTTTGGAATGTTTTTAATAAAATAAATAAAATCAATATAATTGTTTTTTTTTTAGTTTAGAATATTTTTATTGATGATAATACATTTTTATTAATAATAATAATTTAATAATAATAATAATAATAATAATAACGACAGATTATTAAATCAAAATAAAAAAAAAAAAAAATTACAAAGTTATTTTTGTATCGTTCATTTAAATTCAATTTTTTTTTTTATATGGATTTTGAAGATTTGGAATTTGGAATTTGGAATTTAGACTATTTTTGATTATTTTGATTTATTTTCTTTTCTTCTATCAGATATTAAAGATAAATTACTATCACGATTTCAAAGTAATTTTTTTTTCCTTGTTTTTCATAACTAAATTTTTACAAGTATAAGAACAAAGTTGATAAATTATGGGTACTCGAGTTCCACAAATTTCATCTACATCATGAAAAGTAATAGCAGAATGAAATAATGGAACATTACAATAGGTGCAAGTTTTTGGTTTAATTTCGTGAGAAAGTTGGATTCGATTCAAAATATCATTGGTAAGAAATTTGAAAATACATTTTCTTCTTTTTCTTTTTGAATCATTTTTTTGACAACAAAAGAAATGTTGACCTCGATCCAGTAATATATTTCCAATAACTTGTTTACATATATCAAATAATGTTATAATATCACTATTATTATTATTACTATTATTATTATTATTATTATTATTATTATTATTATTATTACTATTATTATTATTATTATTAGAATCATTATTATAAGGATTATCTCTTACGCAAAATGAGGAAAGTCTTTCCATTTTTAATAATTCCGCGGGAAATCGTGTTAACTTATTTTCATTGAAATTTAAAGAATAACATTTTTTACATTCACGTATTTGTGATGGAATTTCTTCAATTTTGTTACTAAATATAATTAATACGCATAATGAAACTAATAATCCAATATTTGGTGAAAGTGATGTCAATTCATTACACTGTAAATGTAGATCTTCAAGTTTGGTCAAATGAAAAAGTGATTCAGGAATTGTTTTTAATTGATTATTTTGAAGATAAAGTTTTCGAAGTGTTGTAAGATATGGAACAGCACCTTTGAGAATTGTCTAAATTAAAAATGATTTATTTATTTATTTATTTATTAGATGATTTATTAAAGATGATTTTTATTAAATAATTTATTATTATTAATTTTAAAAATAAAAATAAAAAAAAAAAAAAAACACGTACAAATTTTGAAATGTTGAGGTCTACTAGTCGTACTTCTTGCTTTGAAGAAAAGTATTTCGTGATAGTTTTATGACTTTGCTGTTTGGAATTATCATTGTCTGTTAAATAATGTGTTATAGTATAACCTCTACTATAAACCTTACTATTCCAAAGTATAACTTTATGATCGTATTTCTTTACGTCATTACCCTTTAATATGTAAGAATGTTCTTTCCCTTGTAAAAAAATCATGTTTTTAACCCATATAAAACTAATAAACCTAAATAAACTTGAATTATTTCAGAAGAGAGGAAGTTGTATGAGCAGTAGTCGATCAGATCATTTATCATATGAAATTCTTTTTTTTTTTTTTTTTTTTTTTTTATAAGTATCAAATGTTTACTTTCTATAGTAGTAGTAGCGGTAATCTTGTGAATGTCGCAAAATATACAAAATTCAATAAATTCTATGCATTTCAATTGTTGACGAATATATTCTCTCGTCAATTAAAGGTACCATCCAATCCTGTGTACATACCTGTTAATGAGGATGCCGAGGAAATATTAGAGAATTATTATATTCCAGGAAAATATCAACATTTTCTTAAAAAAAATAGAAGGAAACTTAAGAAGGAAGCTCGTGAAGAATCATACTTTGGGAAAGAGGTTTTATTTAGATATCTATTTTTATACATTTTAAATTGAACTAATTATTGTAATTAATTAATTAATTAATTAATTCGTTATTTATTTATTTCTTTCTTTCCTTTTTCTTTTTCGTATATAGCCTCCTTTGAAATATACGTCACGGAAATCTCGAATAGAACAATATCCAAATGTTACCGAGGAAATAACATACATTGATGGAGAAAAATTTATTACGCCTATAGTATCCAATAATTCTACCCAACGTAATCTTGCTCAGCGTTTAAATCGGGCAATTATTAAATGCAATGATGAAGTTCCTCATGCGTTTTTAACTTCTGCTTTCATAAGAGTTGTTAATGTAAATTATATCAAATTTTGAGTTTTTTTTTTCCCTTTTTTTATCTATGAAGATAATAGTAGATTGCTTTGATTATTTCGAAATAAATAAATCATTTTTATAGATTTCGATATCACCTAATTTAAAAATTGCTCGGGTTTGGTGGAGACCGGAAGGACAGAAAGGTATTAGTAAGGTAATCTTATAATCTTATAATTGTGAATATTTTTCATATTTCCAATGAGATTTCTAGTTGAAAATTAAAAAATTAATTCCTTAATTAATCTTCAAAGGCTGTTATAGAGAACAGTTTTAATCAACACCTTACCCAATATCGAAGTATGCTTCAACGTTCAATGTATGTAAAGAAACCTCCCAAAATTATATTTTGTCGAGAAGATTTACAATTAAAAGATATAAATAAAATTTTGGTTCAAATTGAAGAAGAATTAAACGGTAATCAACAACGACAACAGCCAGAAGATATAAAGCTTGAAAATGAAAAGGATTTAACGGATGGACTACAAGTATTAACTTCATTGGATGACAATGATATTAAAAAGTAGTAATTCAAAGTTAAAAACACTGGTAATAATGAAATAGCATGACATGATAATGAATCTTCTGAATTAGAAATTTGTGAAATTTAAAATTCTCATTTAACAATTAAAGAAAAAAAAAAAAATCAAAAAAATAAAATTTTTTATTGTATACATTTTTGTAATTACTTTATATTGCAATTATATAAAGAATATATTTCTATGCTTTAATATCTATGTTTGTTTGTTTAATATTTTTTTAATGTTTCAAATATTTTTTTCTTTGATACTGCTTATTGAATAAATTCCTCATTTTCATTTTCTTCTAATAATTTTTCTCGTCCTTGTGAATAATCACTAATTATATTTTTACAAGATGGAGGTACAGTTAAGAATATCTTTGCTCGAGTACAAACTAATTTATCTAAAATTCCTGGTATACCTGACTCGGCAAATGCTTTCTGTCGAATGATGTGACCATTTTGATCTTGAGGATCAAATGATGTCCAACTTTTAAATTTAATTTTTCGTCTTAAAGTTTTTATTGCTTTATCATGAAAATGTGTAATATTTCGAAGTGAATAAAATTGTCTTAAATTATTCTTTAATGGATAATCGGTAGCCAGATAAATATTTGAAATATTATGTTGAGATTTTAATTTGTTAACTTCTCGTATTAATTTTCTGGCACACATTACCATATTTTCTTGTTTAACTTGTTCCATTTTCCAATTTATAGCAATGTAAGGATCAAGATGATCGGATATATTGGAAGCTTTTATAATTAAATGATCAGAAAATTCAATTGATTCGATTTTTTCTTCTTGAATATAATTATTAAATTTTAAATTATGATTAAATAAAATTACTTCAACATCAGAGATCATATTATTAATCATAAATTCATTTGTTTCTTTTAAATGATCAGGTGTATCCCAATATCTTCCTTCCAATGTAATAATATTTGATTCCACTGTTTCATAATCAAAATTAAATTCACTTAAACAATTTCGATCTTTTAAATCTTCTACATCAACCAATTGTGGTTGCATTGAATGATTTCCATTTCCTCGACCTTCAATGATCGTGGTTTGTATTACTGTGGGTTTTATGTAACGTTCTTTTGTCCAACGTAAAAAATCAGATTGTAACATGAATGAAACATCGGGATACATTTGCTCTAGGTTTTCAATGGAATAATAAAAATTAAATGAATGTCTCCTACATACACTTATATGGGATTTACCTACATTAGGTAAAATCATTGTACGATTTAATTGACGAGTAAAATTTATGAACATTTGAAAATGTCTTTGAGCATTAAATTCATCATCAAATTCCCGTTTAATAGTATTATACATAAATAAAAATTTGCATTTTGATCTGTGACAAAAGGATTGATTAATTTCGATATCTATTAAATGAGGGGATGTGAAATTCTCAGCGGGAGCAAAGAGATTTTCAAGTATTAAATCAGAATCTAAATTTTGATTTATTAAATCAATCTACATAATATTATAAAATTATTATTATTATTATTATTATTATTATATTTATTAACAGAAACGACGAAGACGACAATAAAAGATAAACAAACCTCATATTTGTAAGTCGAAGAAGTGTTAGGTGGTATTTCAGACCAAATCAAAGTAAATAGATTCCAAGTGATAGCGATCGTTAAACATAAGAGTAATATCCATTCGTATAGTTTTCGTAGCGGATACATTAATATGTGATGTCGTTTATGTATTTTTGGTTTAAATTTAAAATTCATGAAATAATATAATGTATTATTAAAATTTTTATTGAGAAACTAAAATATTGAAATAATAAATTTACAAATTGAATATTTGATGAAATATATCTGTTAAATATACAAAAAAGGTAAAGAAATAGTTTTTGATCAAAGAGAAAAGAGTCTTGGATAGACAACTAGATAAGAAAGAATAGAACTTGAAGAAAGAAATAAAATGATAATGGTGAAGATAAGAAGTGAGTAATTTTGTGATTCTGTGATTTTGTTTTGAAAGGATAGTAAAATATGAGGTGAAAAAACGATTTTTGATTCTTGACAGAAAAAAAAAAGTTGTTACTTTATATTCTTATATATTATTGATTTATATAATACAAGTAAATCGAACTTAATCTTAATTGTTATTTCAATATTTATAAAATAAGGAATGTTTTATTTTTTTTTTAGATTTTTTATTGTATTTTTTTTTCGAAAAAAAAACAAAAACAAAAAAAAAATAAAAATTTAATTTGATATATTTATATTAAAAAAAATATAGTAATAAAAAAAAACAAAGAAATTAAAATTAAAATGAATTAGCAAAATTTGGATAAATGGCGATAAAGAATAACGATTTAGGAAAGGAATATATGTTCCAAATAGGGTAAAAAATAATTTCGGGATAAAATGTTTACACTTACACGAGGATAAAAAGATTTCTAGAATCTTTTTTCATCAAATGAGGTTAGTTATTATAAATAACACAAAAAAGATGTAACAGATAAAAATAGAATATTTATTTCTTTTGATGTGAAGATCTGTACGTTCAAAAATTCCCGTGTTTAAAGAAATATGATAGGTAATGAAATATGTATTATAAATATAAAGAATATTTATTTACGCCAAGTAAAATGCAGGAATTATAAAAAAAAAATCGTTTAAATAAAAATTTATTGAATAAGAGTTAACACAAAAGAATTAATATAGCAATTGTAATTAACACCATGCATGCATGACAATTGTAAAATTAACATAAAAGAATAATAAGAATTACAAAATGCATATCATTTTTTACATTTTCAACATTAAAATAATTTTGTAAATCCTTAATTTTGTTAATTTTTAAATGGAATTGTAAAATAAATTTGCTATTCTGCAATTAATTGTAACAATAAAGTGAATATTCAAAATTTCCCATGGTTTTGACTTCAAAATGATACCCTTCTCATTTTAATCAGATAATTTTTTTGGACAAAGTATTTCAAAACAAAGTTTACCAATAAATTAATTTATAAATAATTATCAATCATTACTACATATAAACTTTTAATTTTAATAAGTAAATGCTAAAATACAGCTCCAATGGTTAAAAAAAAATAATAAAAAAATAATAATGAATTAAAAAAAATATATAATAATAAATAATAAATAAATAAAAAATAAAAAAAATAATTGTCATATCTTTATTAATCTCAAAATAGGCCAATCATGATTGAGGATCTGGATCACTGATTAAAGGCAGGTATAGTAAGAAGCAGTTGCAGTGGAAACGGTCGAACACATTTGGTTACAGCAAGCTACAGGGTCATCACGATTACATCGAGCACCAACGGGCTTACATGTGGATGTGATGATGGAAGTGGATGTTAATGAATCGGTAAAGGTTGAAATTAGATTGGAGAATAAAGTAGAGGTCTTTGTTATTGTATTAACATTTGTTGGACATGGCATAAAAACAGTTGGATCACAAAAGACGATCTTTTCACATTTTTTATGACCATGAAAGACATGGGCAATTTTACAGTTTTTATCAAGAATGCAGGTAACACGTGGTTTATTTCTCCTGCGAAAAGCGGCATATTTATCAGTTACGAGAGTGGTGGTGGTAGTGGTGGCAGTGAGAACGGTGGTGGTAGACGATATGATGAAAGTTGTAAATTCGATAATAGTGGTGTTGAGAGGACATGAACATTTTGAGGGATAAATAGTTTTTGTGAGACTGCGTGTCTTGGTGACGATTCTACAGTTTGTAGCAATTACTTGTGATGAAAATAAAAGAATTGAAGCAATTAAAGTAACCGTAACGAAAAGGAAGTTTCTATTTAACCAAATCATGGAGGATTGATAATAGAGAAAATATTAATTATTGTATTTGTAGTTGGGAAACTACCGAACAAAGGATAAAGGATAAATTTATGTTAAAATAATATGCTAAGGAAATTATTTGTACCATGAGGACACAACAGAACAGATATTTTATGTAAATGAAGAATAAATTTTGTGCGTAAGAATTCGAAAATATTTTCATAATAAAATTTATTTTTTTTACATTGTACAACCCCCTGATCATTGGAAAGTAAATTTGTTATACTCAAAAATTGTGTAATAAAAATTATATAATTATTAATTGTTCGCAATAATTAGGAAAGAGTAGTGATCGAGGATACCTTTTACACAAATAAAATGGTATTTCATTGTCCATGAAATGATCATTTTGCCATTCACTTTTTTTTATTTTTTATTAAATATTTTTATGTATATATCTAGTTCAGTTTAAGATAGGTGGCAACTTTGTTGTCGCAAGTATGGCATAGAATGATAGGATTTGAATTATTAATAAAAATTATCATTCGCAAAAATAGTAATTATGATTTTTTATTTGTGTTAATGATCGTGAAAGAGGTTTGCTTCTACTCATATTCTCTCATTCTCTCATCATTGATTTGTCAATTATAAATACGTCTTTATCCAGTGATTTTATTCTAACATTATTCCAGTTATTAAATATTTTTCATACGTATGGATCAGGCTTTCAATTTATTTTTTGTGAAACACCTTCTGAATTTATCTTAAATTATTCCCTCATCATCATTTTTTTTTCTTATTTAATCTCTGAGGTAGAGTCTTTCTTCTTTTTTAAGATATAGATTTATATAAAAGCATGATCGAGTTTTTCTAATTAGGAAATTTATTTTTTGAAAAGGAAGCGATTTGCATTTCACCAATCCTGTGCCAATTTAAAAAATACAGTGAAACCACATTCATCACGAGGACTAGCCCTATATAAATAGGTCAATAATTTTTTTTCGATATAACTTATCTGTATATCAAAGCAAGATTTGCAAGCTTACTAAATGCCTCATTTTTTTAATTAATGGGATTTTGTCCCTGAAAATTGTTTCCAACTTGATATTCAATCCAACATTTTTTTAGATCTGTAAAGAAATTATCTATTGTTTGATTTGTTCCTCCTCTTATAGTCATATACATTTTTACATTACTGCGAATATCGTTAGGAAGATGTGTATATAATGCTGGTATAACTATTGCATCTTGAAAACCAACTATAACTTTTCGAATTCTAGATTCATATGTATCTGGAGTATCTAATGAATTAAACTTTTCTTGCATCATATTATAAAGTTAATTCTTCATTTCCTGTCATTACTTCTCAATATTTATGACGAACCCATATTAAAAAAGTTGCAGGAGTATTAATAGCAGAATTATTTATCATTAGCTGGCACAGGGAAAACTTTTCACCTATTTTACTTTTTAAGATATCACATTATGTGCATTAATAAAAAGTATTTGCATTGGCATTATTCGCAGTTGTAATTACTGTTTATATAGAATCAATAACATTAAATTTTTTTTTTGATAATACGTAATCATCTGGAGGTTCATTTCCTGTATAATTTGGAATTTGACTAAGAGGTGAATGTAATATTGCATATATTTCATGAACGGCGACCATTTTTTGTCTTCTATTATTATGTAAATTATTTCGTAAATTATTTACTATTAATTGTAGTACAAATTTTTCTCATTATAAAATCATTATTCTTCTATGTTTATCTTGATATGAAAAATACCAACGACATCTTTCTTTCAATGTGCTTGAGTCATCAAATCTAAATTTCTTTGAAATTCATTAAGTTAAATATTTAATCTTGTAATAGTTTGCACATTCCTTTGGTTAGATGCTTGTGCTATTTCTTGTAATATTTGTGAAGCATTTGATATTTGTTCAAGTCTAGCTAAAACATCATCTTGTCTCAAACCGTTTGTGCTCACTGATCGAAATTTCACAAATACTACACACATCGGGTACCAGATAAGTGTAGTATTTGTAAAATTTTGACCAGTGGTTGGATTTTGAATAATATCTAATATTGTCCAATTCATGTTATTAAAATAAAATGTATCTTTTCTACCTTATGCCATATCTAAATTGTTTGATTCTATTTGAATCTCTTTGGAATTATATCTATATGAGATATTTCATAAATTCATTTTTTTTTAACCGATTTACTTCCTCTTCAAGAATGGTTAATTGTTTTTCTTGATAAGAAATATATGATTCATTTTCTGAGACATTTTTCATTATTTATTCCAAGACACTTTTGGAGATCAGATATTTTTAATTCAAGTGTTATAATAATGTTATCCTGAAATGATATTGTTTTATAGCAACTTTCTATTTCTTTTATAAGATTACGAATTTTTTTCATTTGCTTTATCAATAGCTATCTCATTTCCTATCTCTTTATGCAACTCCTGATTGGTATTTAAAAGTTGTAGATATGCTTCTTGATCAGTCATTTATTTATATAGATCCTAAAAAAGAAATTAATATTATTTGCTTTATTACAAATCTTAAAATTATTATCGAACTGCTGAAAACAATACTTATTACATGTAAAAAAGCAGGTCAAAGACAATTTACTTTGAACAAAATACTAAAAATAAACTAAGAAACTTTATACAAAAAAAAAATTTTTTTAAATTTATTTTTAATTTTAAAATTTATTAATAATTTGAGATGCCAAAAATAATTTGGGCTCCAAAGTAATTTTGCATTTGGCCCTGAATTCCAAATAATTATGACAGCTGAAACAACGCACCATACAAAAAATAATATCTTGTTACAATTTATAACCTTTTTATTTTGAATTCTTATTGATACAAATAGAAATACAGATACTGTATATTTATTTGAATAAAATTTATACTTTATATGTTTATCCAGGATTGAGAACTTTTATTTATAAATTTGGTTCAGACTATGTAGATTTATGATGAAATTTTAGAATAGATATTTGTTGTAAATATTTGAAAGAGCAAGCAATTATATAATAGTGATTTAACTTGATAATAAACTGGGTTGGTTAAGTTATGAGAATGATGGAAGAATAAATTTCACTCAAAGAAGGTGATATCAATTTATTAAACTAATTAATAGAAAAGTATTCAAAAACCACAAAATACTAAATCAAAATAAATATAAAAGAAGTTAAGAAGTTATAAGCTTTAAACAATAAAGATAATTAAAATAAATTCATTAAACATAACTAAATCAATATTTCTGCAAGTTGTTAAACAACACACTACTTTTAGTTGAAATATTTATTAATTTAATAAATAAAATTGAATTGAACTGACAATATTAGTTCTCTTGTTCTTATGCACATTTCTATTTTTTAGGTTCACAACTATGATGATAGCTGGCTCTCTATTAGGTTCTGTACCTGTTCTGAGATATCTTTGTACCTTAACTATAGTGTAAGGTGACCAAGACTCTAATTGAAGTGCTCTTGATGTATAGCAGTAATGTGATTAATTTGTCTTGAGACAATGAGAACTCTAAAATCCAGGGTTGGACAGGATATTAAATGTCAGATAATCAATTAATCCTTTCTAATTTAACTATTTTAAAGTTAATATAAATCATTAATACCATTCTAGGATATTAATTTAATTAATTAATTATGCAGAAATAGAAATAGCTAATCATATATGTCAATTTTAAAATAAAAATAATAATAAAAAAACATAAAAAAAAACCCCCTTTAATTTCTATCTTGTATTTTTTTTTCACAATAATTCCATTTCTTACTTTCAATGTGTGGTATTTTATGTCTATTCTTAAAATTCTCATATTATTGAATCACATTTTTCATTTTTTGATCCTATATTTTCATGGATTTTAAAATTCTTGTTGGCAATGCTTTGTTTTTTTCTTTGGATTATAATACATCTTGTTTGGATTTTAGTAATTTTTTCATTAACAAGAAGTCAAAGCATTATTGTTTAAATTTTGAAATCATTATTCTATATGATTTCATCATGTTTGGTTCAAGAGGAAGTTGACTAAAGCATTTCTGTAAGTAGAGATAATTAATATATAATAATGGAATTTGCCTAGGTCTCAAAGAATCTGTTATTTTGTCTGCTTTATAGTTAGAATTCTTGAATTATCATTATAGACATTTTTAATTAAGAAAATTAATAACAATAATTTATTTATAAAAAGTATTTATTGTAGCTACTTAAAAATTTATCCTTCTTAACTATTGCTTATTTAAAGAGACTAATAATAACAATTCTTTAGTTATAAATTAGTCTTGTTTTGACGATCTACAGGTATAGGTAAGCTTAAGTCTTTAAATGAGCTATAGTGAGATTGGAAATGAAGGAGTTTTTCTTTATTAACAGAAGAGTTCACTCTTTTCTAATTAATTTGTAGCACCAGTCCATTTAAATAAAATACTGATCGATAAAAATGGCGATCTATCCAACATTTCATTTGTTAATAGTTTTTAAAGTACATTCTGTAGAATTTTTTTTTTGTTTTTATTTTGGTTGAAAGAAGATATTAATATTTTTCTTTTGTAAAATATTTGATCTATATAAAGAAGCTTAATATTTGAATCATATTTTTTATATTAAAAAATTCATGGATTAATTTTTTAAATTTAGCTTTTATTGATATTCTTGAAATTGAAATTTGAATTTTCTTATGTTATTTTTTATTTATTTATTAAATATTAATTCTATAATAAAGTAATAGTTATGGAGGTAAATCGTTCCTGAATCTTGCAAATTTTGTATATAATTAAATTGCAAACAATTATTTTTTGATAAATAATTTATAAATATTAATTATAAATTTATTATATGATTTGTGTTTCTGAAAATTTTAATATATTATATTGGCATTAGTTTTTATTGTTTAAATTCAATGGTCATTCTATATTATAAATCTAATAAAATTGGTAGTTTTTTTAAATCAATTAATATTAAAATCGATCTTGTTTATTTTAAAGACTATATGTTAACTAAATATGCATTTCAAAATACTATAAATGTTTTTACACTATATTTCAAGAACTCAAGATTTGTTTTTAATGTTATAAATTGAAATTAAAGCTCACACTCCAATAACCACATCCTATGGTGCCACTATTTTAAATTTAAAAATAAAAAGCAAAAATATTATTATAGGATATTATAATTATCACTGCTTTTTTATATCATTTTATTATTATATATTTATTCCATTATTAACTTACATCTTTGGTAGCCCAAGAATGTTTTAATCTAGTTTTCTGAATTAGTTGTACACTATTATATTAAACATTCTAGTTCTTTTGCACATATTTTAATATTTATATACTAATTAGAATCTATAGCTATGTTGGTGATGATGATGAGTTGATATATTGGTGTTACAACACTTGATATTGTTGTCAACAATACAATTTTGTTGCATCAAATCTCTTGGCCACCTCACAAAGATGTCATGCAGTTTAAAAACTGAAGATTAAGCACACCATATAAGCTCTGAATTTCAAAGTTAGAACTTCATCTCTGATATAAAATGGAAAATTTATAGTTTATATGTATGTAAAATATTTATATACGATTGAAAATTTTAGGATGTGATCCTGACTTTTGAAATGGATCCAAAATATATCGTCTAAATGTCAAATAAAATAATTCAACTGATCAATTTCAGGATATAGTACATTGATTTTTTTCTCTAATCTAATATGTATTTAAGAATTAGAAAATATTATTGTTGATTTGATAGTATTTTATTGTAAATAAAAATTTCAGACTAAAAGAGTGTATAATTTATTTTTAGATCATTTTTAAATTTTTTTTACTGCAAGTTCATAACAAAATATATTATAAAGTTATTTTAGTATTTTGATTTTAATATATTTTAATAATAATAATAATTAACTAGTCTAGATTAAAGCAAAGCAAAGATTTTTTTATAGGAAATTATTCGCTTGTATGAAACTTTATATTTATTGATTTTATTAAACTTATTTCGATACTTTATCAATTATCAATTATTTATAGAAATTTATTTATGAAAATTTATTATAACCTTCAAAAAATAAATTTGATTTTATTTAATTTTTTTATTTTAAAATTTTATTTATTTTAAATTTTATATTTGAAAAAAAGTCGAGAGAACGAGTTACTTTTATATCTAATTGCTAACACATGAGAACATCTTTATGACAGAATTATAACAAAATCATGATATCAATCTATTCACAAATAATATCAAATAATGAATGATATCATAACTCACGTTTATTATATAACAATGAGTAAAAAATTTGGTTGCCTCCTGTGAGGTTCGAACTCACGACCTTCAGATTATGAGACTGACGCGCTGCCTACTGCGCTAAGGGGGCTATTCTTGTGGATATGCTCTGAAAAAGTTATTTGTCCAAATTATTATTTTTAATCCGTTTTATGAACTTCCACATGATTATGAATTCTTTCGTGGATTGCATAAATCTACGAGATTATTTAACTGACATATATTAAATATATTAAACATATTAAATATAAACTATATTAAACATATTAAAAATGATAGGCCATATTAAACATATTAAACGTATTAGACCATATTAAACATATTAAACCATATTAAAACTTATTAAAACATATTAAACAGATTAAACATATTTAACATATTTAAATAATAATAAACGTATTAAACACGTTAACATATTAAACATATATATTATTGAACATATTAAACATATTAAATATATTTAAGCATGTTAACATAATCATTCAAGAATTTAAATTCTCTACTGAGTTACAACTTTTTTGTTTTATTTGAGATCATATAAAAAAGAAATTAAAAGATTTTTTTTTTTTTTGAGAATAAAACTTTAACTACAAAAAAATAAAGGTTAAACGTCTGTTGAAAATTTTTACAATAGAAAAACAAATTAACATTATCCTTTATCGCATATTTTAATTGATAACTTTAAATTGAAAATTTAACCGATTATTTTAATTGGTTATTACAATGATTTAATATTCTTTTTAAGAAAAAAAAAAAAAAGTTAAAATATTTGTTCTATTGTTTATGACAAAATATGGTAAAATTATGTTCGATCAATTTTTATCAAAAAAAAAAATCTATTTTTTTTTTTAAACATATTACAGCATGTATTGTATTTTACAAGAAAGGTGATTTCTCATTCACAGATATCCAAACATTTTCGTACACATAAAGTACCGAATTTTCTATTTTTCTTAAAACCGAATGAACAATTATCATTATGTTACCTAACCTTATCAAAACTTTATCATATCAAAAATCGAATATAATGGTTGACGTTTTTGTGATGATTAAAAAATTATTGATACATTATGTTGTACAACACATTTTAATTATTGCAAACATGTCACATTTCTTCTTTAATTTTTTTTTGGGGGATTAACTATTCTCTAAATGGTAAAGAGATAGTTTAAAACGATACACTTTTTCAAGATAATAACCATTAAAAATTTATTTTATGTACAACGTGGAGAAATAAATAAAAAAATAAATAAAAAAATAAATAAATAAAAATAAATAAATAAAAAAAAAAAAAAAAGATATTTGTATTATATTTATGATAAAACGGCTATTTTAAATTCCATAGACTGTGCCGTAATGTATTAATTTATTTTTTTAATACTTACAAAAATTTTGGCACATTTAACATTATAATTATTATCTTTTTAATAAATAAATATTTTACAAAACAGCATATTTACACATGATAGTTACCCGTCAAAAATAATATATATAGAATACGCTTTCCAAAGGGGGTATTACTTTTCAGATACGCGATATTACTGGTATTCTCTTGTGGGATTCGTGAATACTGTTCATCAAGAAAAGAGAAAAAATAAAATTTTGCCCCACTTATTTTTTCCTTTTTCAGTCGTGCGGAATCTTACTAGAAAAAGAGTATCAATGAGAAAAATTTTTATTGACTTGTTTTTTGACTTGTTTTTTTACTAGTCACAAATATACATCATACCAACGAGATTTCATTGTAAACAGAAAAATAGTTATGGTCACGATAAAGAAATATTATTATCATTTAATTGTACAAGAATCCATGTTTAATTTTTGAAACTAAATCATTTTGTACGCGTTCTTTGTGAATACCCAGATTATCCGAATTATTTAATTTTCACTTAGCTATTATTATTTTAGTTAGTAACCTGATTTATTGGTAACAAGGGTTATAACTTTTTTTTATTATCATTTTTGCTTTTCCTCTCTATATCTAGAAAAATCACAATCACCTAGATCAAAATGTAAAATGGTTGAAAACTTATTAGAAAACAAACAAATTATAGTACTTCGTCACAAACAAATATGTCAGTTTTATTGTAATTGCTTCATTGTTATTCCGACCATTTTTATGTTTTATAATGAAATTTGCTGTGTTTATCGTTTGAAGATTGCATGTATTACACTTTAACTAATTTTTATCTTCGGCATTCCGAATATTTAAGAAATTTATGTGGTACGACGTTTTACGATAATTATCGATTGATTACATTTATAAATGAAACCATTAAATTATAATCAGATCACATGAACACAAAGATCAATATTTCTATATTTCTAGTAAAGTCTCCAGTAAATTCAAATTAAAGAATAAGCAAACATACATAATCATTTATTGGTCTTATTGAAATCAAAAAAAAAAATCAATAAATACTTTTTTATTTTTAATTAGTAAGATGCACACCTTTCAAGAGATCATGTGAGATCTACTTGGCACCACAATACACAAACCAAAATTTAGGAAATTAATCTACGGTCAAATAATTTTGAAAACAAAAAATTCTTTATTATATTTTTTTTCAAAGAACTCTTTTTAACTAAGATTTTTTTTTTTTTTTTTTTTTAAACTAAGCCTGCATAGATGTTTTGAGTTTTGAATAAAAAAATTTTATTTTTAGTATTATGTGATAAAAAGATTATGTATTATTGTTTACTATAAATATAATTTTTTTTAAAAAAAAAAGTGTGCTCGATCGTTGCTTAGTAACAGTGAGATCAATGCAATAATAAATAAATACAAAATCTTATCATTATGTTTATTCTTCTTGTTTTTTTCCTTTTTTGGTATTTTTTTTTTCGTTTTCTAAAAAATCTCTACGATTATGATTATTATTATTACTATTATTATTAGGAATAACTGTCGAAAAATTATCGAGTCGTCATCGAGTGGTAAAATAACTATAATTAAAAAACTAAACAATAAATCTATATAATGGAAAAATCATTGTTTAAAAGTTCATCAATTATAAAATTCATGGGAAATATAATGAATATATGAAACAGTAGATAATAAATAAATAAATAAAATAAATAAATAAAATAAATAAATAAATAATGCACGAATTTATTTATTATATTTATATAATAAATAATAATATAGAATAATAAATTAATAAAATAATATTAATATTATAATAAAAAAATAAATAAATAGAATAAATTGAATAAAAAGGTCGGCCATTCCTTTAACTTGTCCGTTTTTTTCAAGAATTTTTTTCTTATTAAATAATTATATGAAGTAATAATTAAATACTGAATTAAATATCAACTTACTAATTTACTAGATATCAAATTAAATGCAAAATTAAATACCAAATTAGAAAAGCAAACTGAAAAAAATATAAACTAAAAAAATAAAATAAACTAAAAAAAAAAAAAAGATTTAATAAAAGTCAATAAACCATGGGAAATTGTATACATAAACCTCTTGGCAACGATAAAAAAATAAAAAATAATCATAATCATAATAACAATAACAATAACAATAGCAACATTGATACCGAAAGATATACTAAAAAATGGTCACCATTACGATTTTCGACGACATCATCGTTAACTTCTTCATTATTTACAAATTATTTTAATAATCACCTTCACAATCGTCAACAATCATCATTTTCTTCGTTACAACATTCGCGTAAAACGCCACCACCACCACCTTCACCACCATCATTACCATTATCTCCATCACCATCATCATCACCTTCATCATCATCATTATTTAAATATATTGATGGTCGAAGATATCTTAATGATGAAAGTTCCAAATATCCATTACCCAATGATGATGAAGAAATTAATCGTTTACAATTAGAACATTATTTATTTCGATACTCGTGGGGAAACAATTTTTCATCACCAGTAGAGGAAACGTTACGCGGAGGAATAAATTACAGCAACGGAATGAATAATCGAATAAGTAATATAATGAGTAATGGAGAAGGAGTAGCTCGCGTTTTGGATGTTGGTTGTGGACCAGCCACATGGATTCTTGAAATGGCTAGCGATTTTCCTAATTCAACATTTATTGGAGTAGATATATCACCTATATTCCCAGCCTCAATAAAACCTCATAATGTAAATTTTTGTCAATTAAATGTAATAACGAATGGACTATTAGCGTTTGAATCGAATACTTTCGATTTCGTATATATAAGGTTTATGAATTTGGCATTGATGGAAAACCAATGGTCAGAATTATTACAAGAATTAATCAGGGTTTGTAAACCTGGTGGATGGATTGAATGTATGGAAGGTGATTTACAATTTGATAACGAAGGTCCGAATTCTTATCGATTGAATAAATTGTGTATGTATAAATTTAAATTATATAATTATTATTATTAAATTTTTTTTTTTTTAAAAAAAAAAAATAATATACTAATTTTAACAATTTAATTTTATTAAATATATATTCGGTAATAATAATAATAGTACATAATTATCTTAATTCAAATGGAATAAATCCAATGATATGTTCACATTTATCACATTTAATGGCTCAAAGTCTTACAGATTTCGAGAAAGAACATAAATCTACTCCAATAGGCAAATGGGGTGGAAGAGTTGGTGAATTGGTATGTTTCTATGATAATTAATAAAAATAATATTATCATCATCTTTCTAGTTATGTTCCCGATTTTTTTTTTTTTTCCTTCTTTTTTTCCTTCTTTTTTTTCCTTCTTTTTTTTTGCATCCTTTTTTTTTCTTTTTTTTTCTTTCCTTTCTTTATTCCACCATTCATTTCAATCATTTCTATTATTGCCAAATTGATGTACTATTTTCATATTTGGAATTCCAAACACGTTCAATAATCTAATACATTTAATACATTCGGAATGAAATTATGACCGATTATAACTGTATTAAAAATAATAAAATAAACTGTCAGTTTTTTTGCAGATATATGCAGTTTCCTATTTTGGAAAAAATAGATATTTATATTTATATTTCAATGTTTATATTTATATTCTAATGTTTATATTTATTCTTCATTGATTAATTTCTCAATGATTAATTCCTCATTTATTTAATTTTTCACATTTGTTAATTCCACATTAATAAAATTCCACATTTATTAATTCCTCATTTATCCATTCTTCATTTCATTTATCAATTCTTCATTTATTAATTCTTCATTCTTCTATTTCTTTTATTTAATTTATGTACATTTACAGGCAAAAGAAAATATAATTGCTTTATCAAAATCCCTTAAACCTATTTTACAACCAATTCTTAATAATTGGATAATTGATAATAATGAATCGAATGATGAGACATTTAATATAGGTAAATATGAAATTAATGAATTAATAATATTATTATATTCTTTATAATCTCTAACATATTATTATACATATTCATATTATATTAATCTATTATTATTGTTATTATTATATTATTATTATGTTTTTACAGAAAATTATTATGACAAGGTAATAAATGAAATAATCGAGAATGAAGTTAACTTTTACAAGTCAAGTATTGTGACTACTCGATTTTACGGAAGAAAACCATTTATCAGTAATAATAATGATTGTTATAACAATAATGATAATGATATTATTACTTCAAGTTCAATGTTGATAAATTCCAATCAAGAAAAGAAAATGAGTATTTATAATAATGATGAATTTGTTACCGAAAGCGGAGAATTAGACAAGAATAATCGAAGATTTCGTAGTAGTAATCAAATAAATATGTTTGGTCTTAAATCAAAGAATGAAATTAGATATTCCAATGAATCTTCTACACTTGGTACCCGATATTTTTAAAAATTTTTTTTTTATCCTTGCAATAATTCTTTTCTCATTATAAAAAAAAAAAAAAAAAAAATTCGATTACAATATAGAATTTTTTTTTAGATTTTGTCTTTTCATTCATTTTTCATTGTTTTGGATTTTGTAATTTTAGTGGTTTTTTACGTCTTTCGTGGTTTTTTTTTTTCATTTTTTCATTGTTTTATTTAATTTCTTCTTACAACGACAAAAACAACGACAACAACGACAACAACATAAATTTTCAAATATATATAAAAAAAATATTTAAATATATATACATTTAATTTTTTTTTGTTATAACTTTATTATCAAAATTATCAAAATAAAAAAATTTCATCCATTATTATTCTTGAAGAATTTCGAGAATCATTGCTTCTAAATTAAATTAAAATTGCTAATCAAATTTATTTTCAATTATGATCTTGAAGTAGGCGAAATATTAATTCCCGTTATATATCTACGCTATTGAATGAATAGCTAAACTGAAAATCTACCAATGGATAAAAAGTGAATAATTTTAAAAGACGTGAAAGAAACAAATAATTTTAAAAGACGTGAAAACCATATTTTTTTTTTTTTTTATTCTTATTCAAAATGACCAATAACAAATAAATATTTTGACGCATTGTGCCACAAAAGAAAGAAAGAAGCAAAGATTAACTCTTCAATGTTCTCATTTATAAGAAGTTGATAGTGTAATGACAATTGTTAATTTAATTTAGTTCTATTACAGTAATACGATTCTGCAAAAATTTTAATTTCAAATCAAAGATCTCTACTTTATAAATATTAAGTTGTTTTCTAGAGTTTTCTATTTTGATATTTATTTTTAGTTGATTTAATATCACCTCGCCTACTCCAGAAAATGTATTCATCTTTATCATTATTATCAGAAAAATTAATATTACGCATTCTATCATTGTATGTAGCTACATTTTCCATTGCTAATAGAGTAGATAAACTAACTTGTTCCATTGACAAGATGATCTAGCTGAGTTAACAGATTTAACATTTTCATGAATGCGTGTAAATTTCCCTTAAATTTATTCAGTAAATGCGTCAATATTGTAGGTATATACAGCTCAATTCCATTTCTCTTTTACAACGGGAATAAAATCACGATCCCATCTTCTCGGATATATCTATTTAAAGATGTATTTTTCAAAAAAAAAAAAAAATTTGATGGCAACATTGCTTCACAGAATATAAATTTATCCAATGAAGGTGAATATATCATGTTCACTATCGTTAACTTTTGCCAGGTATTATTTTTTTTATGTCTGTCAGAATCATGTGATACATTATTATGCTTTTCGATATAACAGAATTTTAACAGATTGTGATAAATATTCTTTTATTTGTCATGGTGGTGTTTAACTCAGTATTCCTACAAGGGTACGCGTACTCGAGAAGTTCTTGGAATCAATATTAATACAAAATAGTGAAGATTGACATTGTGACATAACGAAATATCATTTTTTACGTAATATTATAGTATTCATTTATTAAAAGAAATGCATATAAATCAGATGAATTAATTACGCACACGCATAAATTGAAGTGAAGGTTGAATAAAGGAAAAGAAATAATAATAGATATAAAAATGAACACAAATTCATAAACAATAAAACTTTAATTTTGATTAGATAATATTAAAAACTTGAAATTGATATATTGATATACATAGATATTGTGTAATTTACGTGTAATGTTTATAAACCACGTGTCCCCCGTTATCAGGATATATATAAATTAGTAATGATAAATCAGGTAATTCATAAATCTTTAGTATTGTGTATACAGAACATTGTTACTTATATTGGGTTCTATTATTTTCCCCGTTTAATTCTTATTCTTTTAATTCTTAATTCTTTTAACCCTTTTAATCCTCGGATTCATATTTTTTCTTTTTTTTTTTTAAAAAAAAAAATTATTTATTTTTTTGACAGAGAAAAAAAAATGTCTAATAGATTTAGAATTTTATTACACACGTCAGGAATTTTTTCTTTTTGTTACTCTTTTTACATATTACCTTCATTAAAAAGATCTCAAAACCTGATTTTTGAGTTTACTGTTAGTATATTATTTATATTATTCATATTCATTACGAAAAGAATATTTTTAACTTGATTTTTATATTTTTCTTTGATTTTCTTTTTTTTTTAAAAAAAAAAAAAAAAATTCCAGCATTTAACAGTAATTGGATTACTTTTTTCTTTGGTGGCTTTTGTTTTAGCTTTATTATATGATATATTTACCAAATCTCGAGGTAACTTTTAATTTTAATACAAACAAATAATTTTTGTGAATTATTAAATTTTATTTCTTTTGTTTAGTTATATCACTTCTTAAGAATATATTTACAGCTGTATCTGTTCCGGTAAAGTATTTTATTGTTACATATTTTGTTTTATTTATTATTAATTATTAAATTTGTTAAATTTCAAATTTCTTTAATTTATTCTATTCAGCTGGAAGGGCTGATTTCACTTATGTATTGGAGTCTTATATTGTATGATGAAAAACTTATTTTGGAGCCTGGAAATGCAAGGTATGTGATTTTTTTTTTATCAGAACCATCTTTTATATAATTATATATATATATATATATATAAATTATTTTATTCATGAATTTATTTTATTAAAATATTTTTTATAGACTTCCATTTTTAATCGATCTTGGATTTCATTTGATTCCAGCTTTATGCTTATGGACTGATTTTCTATTTTTCACTAAAGATTTTAGAAAATCACATAGTCACATTTTTTATATATTAATATTTGCTTTTACATATTCAATTTGGATTCAATTTTGGTTTAGTCAATCCGGAATGTGGGTAAAGTATCCCGTTTTCTTTAAATGTTTTATTTTTTTATTTCTTCTTTGGTATATTTACACAACACGATATATTAGTATTAACAATTCTAACAATTTATCTTTTTTTTTTTTTTTTTTAGCCATATCCTCTTTTGGCTAAATTAGAAACGCAACACAGGATAGGCGTTTATTTAGCATGTTTTGTTCTTTGTACTGGAATTTATCATTTAGGTAATGTCATTATATTTTATTGATATTATAATTATTATTATTATTATTATTATTATTTTACTAACATTTTTTTGTATATCTGTTTTGATGATTTTATTTAATAGGCGCGTTTGCACACACAATTTTCAACAAAACGATAAAGAAAGTTGATTTAAAAGTTAATTAATAATTTTTTTTTTTTAAAAAAAAAAAAACAATTCAATAGTAATATAGAAATAACACAAAAGTATTTTCGAATATGTAATGCGACGACGAATTTTAAGTATTCCGCATTGTTATATTCTTTTTCAATTGGACAGTTTCATTTTGTATATTTATTTAATGCATTTAGTTCATTCGTTAATGATGTATTATTTACCGTTTAATTTATGATGTGAATAATTGTATTAGTATTTAAATATTATTAATAATATATGAAATATTTTAATGATCGGTTCTTCCTTTCGTAAATACAAAATATGATGTTTTATTTATATTTTTAATATAATATAATTTACAATAAAAATAATTATAATCTCAATCTTATTGATAAATAATATAATTGATAAATACAGATAACATGACACGTAAAGTTAACAAAAATTTCAATCCTTCCAATATCCTAACTCTTTCAAAAATTCATTAAGTTTCTCTGGAGGACGAGCAATAATAGCTTTACCATTATTCCAATCTACTACTATAGGTCTTTGTAAATTAGAAGGATTTTGTTTAATAATATCAGCTAAATGATTTATACCATTAATATTATTAGTAATAGTGGTAGTGGTAGTAGTTGTATCTTTGTTTACAGAAGTTGTTTCAGTAGTAGTCGAAGTTGTCGGAGTAGAAGTTTTATTATTATTATTATCATTTCTAAGAAGTTGATTTAAATCATTCTCAACATTAAGATATTTAGCAATCAATCTAAGTTGATCTTTGGTAGGTGGTTGTTTTTGATATTCAAGAATATCAAGTTTGAATATACCTGGTCGTCTTTTTAATGCTTCACAAAGAATTGAATGTGCATTCTTTGATTTGTTACAACGTGAATTATGAATAAGTGTTAATATTGGTTGAGAGAATGACATACGAAAAGACATACTGTAAAAATAAATTATTCTGTGAATTTTTTTTTTTTTTTGAGTGTGAAAGTTTTAATTTTTTTTTTTTTTATTCTTTCCCAAATTATTGATTTACGCACATGACATGAAATGAAATAAGCTGAAATGATTTTTTTGTTTTTATTTACATTAAAAAGAATGAAGTAAAGTCACATTCAGCTCCCGTAGCAAAGTGGCAATGCGTCGTGCTTATAGGTAGTACCCTATACTTGAGCAACGCGAAGGTCGCGAGTTCGATCCTCGCCGGGAGCACTTGGTATTTTGCATTTTTTTCATATTTTTTTTTATTTCGAAAAAAAAGGAGGAAATTTTTTTTTTTTTAAAAAAACGAAACGAAAAAAAAAATTTATAATTTTGATGGTGGTTTCTTTTTTTGATTTTTTGATTTTTAGTGTATCAAAGAAAAATAAAGGATTCAAAAAAAAAAAAGCAATAAAATAAGCAAAATGGGTAAGTATGAGACTATAAATGATATAATACGTTTTTTAAAAAATTAGATAGATATTTATCATAAAATAAACTTTTTTTCACAAAATCATTTGTTTTATTATTATTTTTTTTGTCTTGTGGAAATCAAAAATTTTATTAAATTATTATTATTATATTATTATTATGATTTTTTAGATAACCAAATTTACAATAAAAAAAAAAAAAGAAATAATTCATTAAGATCTGCTACTGGCTGATTGTAAGAGAACTAAAATTATAAAAAAATAATAATAAAATATAAAAAAATATATCTAAAATATAAATAAAAATAAACAAAATATATAAATTAAAAAATTATTAAAAAAAATGAACAATATGAATATAATATATATATATATTATATTTGGTATTTTAGAACATTGATGATACATTAAGAGTCATTGTAAACGGAATTTTCATCATACTATAACGTGCCAAATGAGCGGGAAAAGGAGGCAATTCTTTAGATATAAGTGATTTAGGAGATTTAGGAGATTTTGGAGATCTAGGGGAAGTTGGAGTTATAGAACGGGAACGTGATTTTGATATTTCCGGTAATGAAGAAATTAAAGGTAATAATGAAGCTTTTGAATTTTGAGAATCCAAAAGAGGGGAAGGAGGAGAAGGAGAGGGAGAAAGAGAGGGAGAAAGAGAGGGAGAAAGATGACGAGAATTGGGAGTAAGAGGAGGAGGATAAGATCTGGGAGCAAAAGGAGGAGTAGTAGAAGTCGGAGTAAAAGGAGGAGTAGTAGAAGTCGGAGTAAAAGGAGGGGTGGAAGAAGTGGGAGTAAAAGGAGTGGGAGTAAAAGGAATAGGAGAAATCGTAATAGGAGATTTTGTTTTTTGTCTTAATGGTGGTCGAGGAATTTCATATTTTTCTTTTCTTCTTTGAATTTCGGCATTAACTTTTTGAACTAATTCATCTGATTCTAATATTCTTTGTATAGGTAAAACTTTAATGTTACTGCTGCTGCTGCTGCTGTTGTTGTTGTTGTTGTTGTTGTTGTTGTTGTTGTTATTATTGTTGTTGGGTATGATATTGATATTTTCTAATTTTTTCTTTTCTTTTTCAATCTTTTTTTCCTTTCTTGTTTCTATTTTTACATTTACACCTTTTCTGGATAATCGACGTCTTGGTAATTTAGATTGAGAAGAAGATGACGGTAAAGATGAAAATCGTACTTTAGTAATACTACTGGTAGTAGTATTTTTCGATAAATTGGTTGAACCTGCACCAACAAGTGATATCGATAAGCTTTGTTCTAATAAACGTTGTCGAAATATTTGAGATGTACGTTTTCCATCTTTTGGTAAAGAAGTAATTGTTATTGATCCTCTTTTCCTTATTGATTTTGAACGAGATAATCTTCTTCTTGAATAATCATTACCAATGTTATTGATGTTATTAATGTTATTGATGTTATTGATGTTATTGATGTTATTGATGTTATTGATGTTATTGATGTTATTGATTTTATTACTATTGATGCTATTGTTGTTAGTGATTGTTATTGATCCTCTTTTCCTTATTGATTTTGAACGTGATAATCTTCTTCTTGAATAATGATTAACAATGTTATTGACGTTATTACTATTGATTCTGTTGTTATTAGTGTTCTGTTTAATTTCATTAGATTTATATTTTTTATATTGAGCTAAAGGTATAAGAGAAGCGTGAATTAATTTTGGTGATGTAACAAATTCAGGTATCCATTTTCCAACTGGAATCCTCTTGTTATCATTATTGGTTGTTGTTGATTTATCTTCCATGTCAGTAGGATCATTTAAATTTTCAGGATTTGTTGTCATTGAATTTGTCATAATAACATTTGAATAATTACAATATATTGGATTATCTAAAATATTTTTATCAATCGTGAAATTTTGTCTCGGTATTTGAAATTTATTATTTTTCACAATATGAATTGGTCGAGGAATTTTACTGGGATGTTTTTTATTATTATTATTATTATTATTATTATTGTTATTATTATCATTATTTTTATTGCTTTTATTGTTATTATTATTTTTATAATTATTATTAATTTCAATTGTTTCAATCGTTCGTACAGAGGTAACAGATATTCCATCCCAAAACGAATCCTCCAACATAGGCGCTCTATTTTTTGATTGATCTATTTTATTTTTGGATGGAACTACTTTAGGTTTATTTTTATTTTTTAAAGATATTTTTGATTGATAACGAGTAGGTAAATGAGTAGACAAATGAGTAGAATGGGTAGAATGGGTAGATGAATGAAATGAATATGAAGGATGTGAATGAGAAGGATATAATGAAGAAGGATATGAAGCAAGTGAATGATGATGGTGATGAGAAGGAGAAGGAGGAGGGATATGTGATATTCTAGAGGAGGAGAAAAAGGGAGGGTTCGATATTGAATCTCCTTGAAGATTTTTAAATCCTAATTTATCGTAATCATGCCAATTTAAATTATAAGTGCCATATCTTCGAGATGCGAGTAAATCCGTCTTATTTATTCTGGGATTTCCTTTGTTATGATCAGATGATGATGACGTTAGATTGGCAGATACATTAGAATAATATCCTCGGGAAAGAGATCGTGTCATATTGAGAAATATGCAATTACTTGTATCGAAAGGAAAATAAAATAATATTTAGATTTAATATAATATTTTATTTATCTTGTTATTATATATACTTTAGTATTAACTTATTTACCTTTATAAAGAATGTAAAGAGTATGTAAAGAATGAATCTTTTAACAGCAGTTGGAGCTGTTTCTTGGGCGTTAAAAAAAATAATACCTGAGGAATATTAAATACCCTTCCTAATAAATTAATTAATAAGTTAATTCAAAGGTTCTAAAAGCCTTATATATAAAAAAAAAATAATTACATGTGCAATTTTTGAAACGAGATCGGATTTGGTTGACAAAAAGGAAAAATTTAATTTAAAATGCACATCAAACCATTTTTAAACTAACTTACGATAAAAATATTAATAACCCAAGTTGAAATTTTTTACTAATGCAATTAATAAATTTTCATATAACATTTACAGAATATACAATACATATGTATATATATATATTTATATATTTATATCTCAAGGAAAATCTCAAAAAAAGAGCCCACTAACACTGAAAAAGTTTGAAAAGGGTTAAAAAGGTGGAAAAAAACAATTTCATGTTCTACATTTTATTTTATTTTGTGGGTAACAATAATTAAAGTAAAGATACGTCACTTCATATTTAAAAAATTTGAATTTCTAGTACTCATTACAAACATAAAATCCTACATTAAATGCACATCCATAATTTTAAACAAATATAATAAATGCGTAAATCTATGCAAAACTTAAATTTTGTGAACATATGAAATATATAAATATATATTAGGAAAACAAATTATATAGTCTTTTTTTTTTTTTTTTTTTGTATAGAAAACAATAAAATTTATTACTATTGTAAATGTTATGAACTATAAAATGAATGCAATGCTATAAATGTCTATAAATAATACAAATACATAAACCGAACATAAGAACTACGAAACATTGGACGATCGATTCGTACACTTAAAATTGAATTAAATTGCATTCTATGTTGTTTATTATTATGGTACCAAAATTGGTTTTTACGGTTTCACAACTTTGTTTATAAGCGCCTCCACAATTTTACAAATAAGTTATCAGAATAAGTTGACTTCTTAAATTTTTATTTGTAGAAATAAAAGAAAAAGAAATTCCAAAAAATTTTTTAAAATAACCGAAACAACTCTACGAGCCATATGATTATAATTTTTCAAACTAAGTTTATAAATTTCCCAGTAGGAGTAATTGACGATTTCGGAATTATATGGAGTTAATACTACTACTAATTTATCAGCATTTACTGGAATAAGATACAATGATGTTCGAACGCTAAGCATATCTGAAAATATTCCTTTACCAAATGGAATTATGTTCATATTGATGGACAAGAATATACTGGGTGTTATTACACTCTTGTAAAAATAAAAAAGTGAGAGTAATTTAAATATACGAACTAATAAATCATTTAAATTATTTTCATAAATATTAATATATTTACTATAAAGAAACTTGAATGGTCTGATTTATATAAAATGAATGTAATTTAATAACTTGTCAATTATATTTAATTCTAAGAATGCCATTGAGAACGATAATGACTCAAGATGTCATTTTTCTTATATTATTTATTATTAAATTTACGTGAATGTAATTTTGCCTAGTGGTGACAATCACCAGAGCAATCCCCAAAATTTTATATTAAAGTAGATATATTAGTGTTAACTCCAACCTCGCTATATTAGATACAAACAAATCTCCGTATGAATGGTACCATCTATTTACGTTTGGTAAGTAATATGAATAATTTTATTTTTGAATTTTATAGGATGACCCGAAAATTTAATCCACTTGTTCCTAGCACTACAAGTACTTAGACTAATACTGTAACTATAAAAAAATCGTCAAACGGTTTCTTGGAACAGGGATAATGTAGCGGTTGTGATGTTGCTATAATTTTGTTTTGCGCAAAAAAAATTAACATATTCATAAATTAAAACTTGTGAAATATTTATATTTATTTTTCAAAAAAAAAAAAAATTATATGAATTGCATCTTTTAAAATCATATTTTTTTTACATTATGAACGTATTTCAATGATTTTATTAATGAATCTGAAAGGAGCAATTGTTTATTAATTAAAAATTGGCTAAGATAAATGTACCACCCTACCACTAAGCAAAAATTTTTTAATTATCAATTTTCGGACGTTCAATTGTTCTATTTTATCTGTTTTACTATTAAAAATTCGAAATATAAACTTAAAAGTTCATTTCACCCAGATATATGCATTGTGTTATGTTACTGTTAACGTTTTTTCATAACTCCGAGAAGGAAAAAAATTTTTTTTTATGAAATTATTCCATAATTTAGAAAACCTTATTATATGTATTTCTCACTTGAATTTATTTTTTATTTAATTAATTCAATTTTATACTATGACCCACTCGGAAGAATTAAAGCTAATAGTGCAATAATCAATAATCGACTCTTAATTTTGGAAACTGCTATCGTTGGTTTAGATAATTCTACAATATTTTTAATATTCAAAAAAACGGGGTATTAGGTTATACCTAGTGTTGTCAAGGGACACCTCAGAATTTTTTTTTAAAAGTGTAAATAGTACAAAATTTTATTATCAAAGCCTGCTTTAGCTATTAATTAAAGTTGTTTAGATTCGATATTTTTTTATTATATTTATTTTTAAAGTTTTAATATCTATTTATAGGCTAGTTAAGGATAGGGACAGTGGGACATTGGACATCTAAAAAAGCCAGAGATATACCTTTGTAAAAATTTCTTTATAGTCACAATTCTTTATATAATTACCTTTTAAAAATATGTCCCGATGATGCGATTTTTTAGAGACTTGCCTGTATTTTCCAGATTATATTTTAGGATTTTTACAGAAAGCTTACTAGTGTCCTTGCTCCGTCATTCATTTATTTTATTTTTCTATTATATTAATTTATTTTAAGATGATCAAATATATAATATTTTTATAATATTACCAAACGATAATGAGTTTAATCTTGTTCATACCACTACAAGTAATGGCACTAATATAAGTCAAGTACTCTTACTAAAACTCAACTACACCCACAATACTCTAACTACATCCACAAAAAATCATCGAAGACGTCTGGACATGGATTAGGAATAAGTGCTGTGGTTATATGATGTCTGGTATTTTTTGTTATAATTTTTATTTTACGTAAAAAAAGGAAGTTCCGGAAATTCTTGAAATATCTAAATTTTCTCATTGTTGCATTGATAAAATTATTGAAATATTATTTAAAAGATGCAATTCATATAAAAAAATTTTTTTTAATTTATTTATGTGAATTTCAATGCAATCAAATCTGAAACAGAACAGTTGTATATAATTAAAAGTTGACCAAGATAATGCACAGTATGCGTTACTATTAAAGCGATGTTTATATATAAACGAACAAAAATTGTGAATAATTAAATTTCATATGGATGAGACGAATGTGATTACTAACAGGATGCATGTGATTGTTCACAGATCAAAGCAATTCAATAATCACATCATATTGTATTTTTTTTTTTTAACTAAAACCAGTAAATAAATTACGTGTTATATTTTATATTGCCATTCCTTTTTAAATTAATTATTTTCAATATTCTCAAGGTATGGAATGAATATTTCAAACGAAAAAATTGAATAAATTGTCTCGGAAATTATATTTATTGTTAAAAATCAATGATTACAAAAAAAAGAAATTTCATTACATGACATTTGATGGATACAAAATTACATTTTAATATGTTACATATATTACACTATAACATCATCAAAATAGACAAATTCATCGGAGTAGTAGTATACTGATCTATCATTATATAATGATAAAAGTTTAATATAGTCATGGATTTAACAATTTTTCAAAATATAATATAATACATACTTTTCTGAAGGTTTAGTAATGGCCATATTTGCCATCATGATCACCGTAATGACCATGTTTATGGTCATGACCATAATGACCATGTTTATCGTCATGACCATAATGACCATGTTTATCGTCATGACCATAATGGTGGTCATGACCCTTGCCATGGCCGGGGAGCGGGTTTGAAGAGACGAACGAAACGAACAATAAGGTTACGAAGAATAAAATAACTGAGGCTTTCACGACGTTCATTTTGAAATTTTTTTTTTTGAATTTAAAGAATTGGAATTGTTGAATTGTTGAAGTGCTAAAAAAGACTGAAGAATGAATGGGTGAGTAGTAGACGGGGGTTTATATAACAAAATTTTTCATAAATTTTTTTCGCTAACATTGAAAAATAGTATATGGGAAAAAATTGGGAGTTAAAAATTTTCTCCGTGACCATTTGCAGATATTTGCGGATGGGTGAGAAAATGAGTGAGAAAATAAAATTTCAATTACTTAATAAAATTGTAATTAACCAACTTTTAATTGTTACTATTTTTAACAATTATGTGCTAAAAATAAATTCGCAAATTTATTTTTATATGAAAATTCTATTTATATGGATATTTTTAATTTAATTATGATGAAAAAATTTATTCTCGTCTCGCGTGTTTAGTAAGTAGAAAATATAATCAATCAAAAATAAGTTTTTAACGCTGGCGGATATTGCGTATGCATAACATTTCCAAACTTTCAATAAAGATGAAGCTGATGCTGATAATCTAATTTGATTAAGAATCTTATTTAATGAATGGAATTCTGTTTTTAACGAAGCGATTAATTTTCATTAAAGCATTAATAAATAACTTGAAGGAGGCTTTCCTTTTCATAAGCGATACTAAAATTAGATATAGTTCAAATCTAAACCAAATGGGTATTAAAAAACGAATGTTCTTTATTTCCTAACGTTTAAGGAATTTTCATGGTGAATTCGAAAATTTAATTTAATTTTAACCAGTTCCAATTAATCTTAGTGAATAAAAATCTCTTTATTATCAAATTTATCAAATATTTATTTGAATATTCATTTTTTTGACAATCTTAGTAAGATCAATAGACCATCAGCTTCTTCTTTAGAAGTTACAAATCGTTCCCGAAAACGATAATCTTGGGGTTTCATGACTATTGCATGACGTTTTGACTTTATCTCTAATGGTGGTGGGATGGTGAATTTGGGAAAATAATTTGATACTTTTAATTAGTTCCCAGACCAAAATATCAAATGTATGCTAAATATATAATTGACTAAAAAAGAATGGAATAAGAGAATTGATATCCAAAACTACGTATCTTTTTATTATTTTTAAGGACACATTTTGTATAAAAAAAAGTAAGATAGTTTTCAGTAAAGTCAATTTCAGAAATCTAACCTAAACTTTTTCTTCTTAAATATTTTTTAAATAATACTTATCGTCTAACTGCAAAGGTGAAAATAAATAATTGACGATTTTTTTATTTCTCGTTATTTTTAAGCGAATTTATAATGTGGATATAATATCACTTTCTGTTAATTAATTGTGTAATCTTTATATATTTTCATGAAAATAGTTTAATTTGATTACTTTTACAAATTAACTTGTTTGTTTTTTTTCCACTACAATGAATATCTTGTTTGAACCAAAAGTTAAACGAAGATGATGCATTGCTCGCTCAGTTCAACTTTATTTATAGGATAATTTTTAAATATTTTTTTTTTTGCATTTTAATAAATATTATTCTATTTAAATTACATGTCTGAAAGTTCTATTGTTTCTTGTTTTAATAAATCTTTAAAAACAAAATGACCCCGAAAGACTGCATAAATATGGAGTATATTTACTTCGATGCAAAGTATCGTCGATCTTTTTTTTAAAAAAAACTTCCTTTTTCAGTATGATTACGTTAAATTTTATGTATCAATTACGTAATAAGATATAAATTATTATGTATCACGAATAACTACACTATATATGACTACACTATATGTACTAAAAATTAACAGGAATTTTTATTATTAGCATTAAGATTTTGATCGCCATGTTACACAACTATATATATTTACTTTACAATAATACCCAATTAAAAAATTCGAACGTGCCTGAATTATAAAATTTACTTATTATTCGTATCCAAAACTTTGCAAATATATTCTTTCAGAAAAGCTTTTTTGTTTGAGCATTTCAGATCTCTATAGATCTCAATGTCTGTCAAGTTAATAATATGAGTATTTTTTAATATTATTTAATTGAATTTTAACTTGAAAATATATTTAATTAATGTTTATATAACTTCTATCAAGTTTTTTATGACAAATATCACACTCTTCTGGTGATGGTGATACACTTGTACTGTAATCTGTTGGAAGGCATCTTGAATCTACTGTTTCTCCTAATGTAGTTAATATAAATTCTATTTTTTTTCTTTTATTTTTATTTATCTTACGTTTTGAAAATAATTTAACAAAAATAATGCCATTTTTTCTGTAAGTGAATTTAATGATGATTGTGTATAAGGATAATTTTTTTTCTTTTCAAAAATATCTTTAAATTCACAATGATTTCGTGTATATATAAATATAAAAATTATAATAAAGTTAAATTTATTAATTATAATACAGATTAATAATTAAAATTTTACCTATTACATAGGCTTGTTTTATTATAGTGTCCACATTATTGTTTGGTGGTGTGTGTGTTCTAATTTTGCTATGCATGTTTTCAACATAATAGTCATTAAAATTTACTAGAAATAATTTTATAGCTTCTGCAAAAGGGTGATTGATGTCTTGCCAATAAAAAATGTCTGAAAGAAAAGCCAATGGTGCTTTATTATAATTATGCCACTTCCAATGAAGAGCAAATGTCCAAATTCTAAAAATAGTTTCTATATATTCTTCAAATGAACCAGATCTAAAAAGTATTATCTAACAAATCAATTACCATTCTATATTCAATGTCTTTCTTTATTCTGAACTTTGTTAAATCAAGAAGCAAATTAATTCCCCATGGGTTTTATTTTTTTGCTAATATTTTTGTTTGCCCAAATACAGAATGAAAAAGTTTTTCAAAAAATGAATGATAAATTAATATAACATGTTCCCTACTGTTAAGCGAACCATGTAATGGTCCCAAAATTGGAATAAAAGAGTTAATTTCATTGGGTATAAAGTATTGTGAATTTGACTTATGTAAGTTAGTTATTGCTTTTCTAACAAATAACTGTCCTGGCCAATCAGCAACCAATGGAGCAACTTTATTATACAGATGTCTAATATCATTGTTAATATCCAATATCATTTGTAATGCCATAATATAATCATTCATTGAGCGTAAATTTTTTTCCTGAAGTCCAATTAACCTTACTCCTTTCATTGATCACTCTTCTTTTCTTTCTACTATTGCATCATTATAACTATGAATTGTAAGTAAATCCATTTGATCAAAATTTCAATATTTGATTTTCCATTTGAAAGCCAATGCATTTTTCGGTTGGTATATGCAATATCAAAAATTCTATGATAATTGTGTATTAAGCGAAAACAAATATTGCTAGCATCAATATTGACTGGATTGTGTATTGATATGTCATTAAATATAATTGGTATTGATTCACATAAAGGCACTTGTTTGCAAATGCAAGTAGCCATGTGTATTGCTGTAGATAAATGTACAGTATCAGGTCATGTATGTTATGATAATCATCCAAATTATAAATATACAAATAGTTATTCTAGTTATCAATTAAAATTAATTATTAATTAATTTTATTAATAAAAAAAAAAATTAAAAATTGAAATATTAATTACATGCTCTTTAAAGAACTCCTTAATTTTAAAAGGATGCTCATTAACAATTTTTTGTTTGAAATTGTTCACAGTTGTATAACATGCAGAAATACCAATGCTGTTCGTTGTATCAATTGCAGTGCGTGTTGCGCCAGATGCAATCCAATCTCCATCTTAAGATCGTTGACAAATTTATTCCGTAATCCCGCCATTATATAACATACTGTTACAATCGTTTTTCGCGTTTCAATTTTATTATTCTCTGATCTTCTATCAGGAATTAGCGCCTTTATTAATTTATTAAAAAAACCTTCAACTTCCAAAATCATTTGTTGAAAATGGGTTGGATCAAGTTCAATATTTCAGTGACATTTATATAGAGCTTTGATAAGCATAGTAACTTGCTCTACAAAAGTGTAATTCTTTGACTCTATAAAAAAATAATATATATATTTATATATAATTTAATATTACAATAAACTTATAATTATCTTATATACCTGATATTTTCGAACTATTATTATGGTCGGGTTCAACTATGCGCAAATAATGGGGATAACAAAGTTGTTGTCCAATCTTTAGATATGGATAAGTTTTAAAAGTTCCCTTTTTTTTAGCTTTATTATGTGCTAGAGATATAAAAAGACGATACATATTTTGCTCATAACTACAATTATGAACAGAACAAGAAACGAATGGTTTATTTGTAAAGAGTTTGTAAATACGTTTATCATCGCGTAAAAAAAAATTAAAATTTTAATCCTTATAATCACATGATATAAATTTTAAGCCAATAAAAACAAACTAGCCCTATGCTCGTTGTACTTGTATTGATAATATTTTTAATTTATTCTTGATGTAAATATAAAATTTTCTCTACTATAAATAGAGTTTTAGTAAATTATTATGGTAAATTTCTTTAAAGAAAGGACGCTAGTAATTTTTAATATCTTGCTTTTTAATAATTTAACTGAAAGGAAAATGGTTATCAATATATCAAGATATTATATCAGGCTGAATGAATTAATTTTATAAATCGTGCTTGTGATATTATCATTATCTTTGTTTTTATACACATGACTTTTATATACATCAGTAATACAAGATGATGAAATTTCGATCAACGATGATTTCCTTAGCCGATGAAAATATTCTTGATTTAAATGATAGAAAAAAAAATATTATAATGTTCTATGTTTATTAAATAAAAATAAATAAAATAATAATTTCTAATTTAACGAGATAAATTCTCAATACTTTCATATATCAGTTTCATAATTTTATTAACTCAGACTCGAATTTCACTTATTTTATCACACTCTATTATCTAAAGTGACTCGTAATGATTTAATTTTGTATCAAATTAAAATCAATTTAAATAAAGTTTACAAGCAATTATTATACTGATAATTTTACGAAAAAATACAATGTGCATTTTATCATTTAATTATTTCTCATTTTGCGTCTTATACATCATTAAATCTTTATCATTTTACTAATTTTTCTATATTAAAACATAAAATTTCCTCAAATCCGTAAATTTTAAAATTACTCAAAATCTGTCTTTCTCTTTTAATTTTATTATTTTTAAAATTTTCGTTATAAATAACTGTTCAAACACACAATAATTTTTTTTTTTTTTGAAAAAATGGACAAACATAACTATGATGAAAATTATGATAATACAATTGCAACACCTGTTCACGCGACACCAGCAGCTACGCAAGAAAGTTTAATGAGCCTTGATGGACCAGAAATTATTTCCGCAACACAAGAAGCAACAAATACTGAAGGAGAATATGAGAATGGTAATGAAATATCTGAAGGAGGAGGAGAGGTAGTAGAGATATTTGGATATGAAATTTATTTATTTTTTACGATTTAATAATTTATAGTTTCACAATTTATAATTTTATTATTTTATAGCCCACAAAAGTACTTCCAAAAAAACGAAAACGTTCTGTAAAACAAAAAATAGAAACCACAGAGTCATCAACATCAACCACAGAACCATCAACATTAATTACACCAACCACCACCGCCACCAATTCGAATAAACCAAAGAAAGTTGCACCAAAAAAACCTCGAACCCCCAGAAAACAACCGCAACAACAACAACAAGAACGGCAACAGCAGCCACCACCATCACCTGATATCGCATCAATTATTTCAACTACAGGAACTACAGGGTTTGCCGTCTCAACTGCAACAGGACCTTGGGAATCTGAAGATGATCAACTTTTAATAGATCTAGTTTTATCATATCTTAAAGATATTCCTTGGAAAAATCTTGCTGAAAAACATTTCCCAAATAGAACAAGACAAGGTTTGTTTGGAAGATGGAATGTAATTAAAAAGAAAATGTTAAATGTTAGTAATCGTAATAATAATAATAATAATAGTAATAATAATAATAATACTAGTGGTAATTATAATAATAGTGATAATAATTGAGATAATTAGAGATGATATTTATACAATTTTTTTTTTCAGTTTTAAACTTAGATTTTTCAAATATAATTGATAGAAAATTTATGAACTTATTATACTTATACTGTATAGACTTTACTACTGTATAAACTTTACACTTTAAACTTTATTACTGTATAACATAATTGATGATAATAATTATTATTATATAAAGGTAAATACTTATAAATTTTCTAATAAAGATCACAGAACATATATTCAGATTTAACCTTAAATGTTGCCAAAATATTGTTAAAAATTACAGTATTATATATTTTTTATATAAATTATTTTTGGAAGAAATTCTAGAAATTCTTCAACAACAACACATTATATTTACAACAAAAACAATAATAATGATTCGTTAACTCTAGGTCAACTGAAAAAAAAAACCGTAAAACAATTTTCCAATAAGCAAAGGTACATTTATTATAATTAATTACTATTGCATTATTTACCATTAGCAAAAGGAATTTATGCTGATAGGAATAACGTTTGTAAAGAAATTGATGAATTTTATAGTTATGTTATGTCGAAATTTCTCAATTAATAGTGGTTTGAAAGTGTATGTATTTCAATATAATGTTATATAATATATTATAATTTCTAATTTATTTAATTTATTCAATGATAATTGATTAAAAGAAAAAATAATTAATTGAACAGTGAATTTAATGAAAAATAAATTTTCCGCGTAGATGAATAGTACAATTTCCGAACGTAGAACATGATCTCGCTAAAAGATTTTCTTCCGCGAGAAAACCTTTGCATATTTCTCAAGGTTGGCTATTAATAACGATTAATAATGATTGCGATAATTTATAATAATAATAATTGTTAATAATTATTTTTAATTAGAAACATTTGGAGAATTAACAAATCCGAACACCATTTAGAATTGAAATTATTAAAAGCTTTATTGTCATATTTTCAAGCTTTAATCATTATAGGTATAGGTATCTCCTTTTATATATTATATTACTATCATTCTATATTAGATTACCTTTATTATCATTATTTATATTTCTTTATAATTTAGTCATCTGAGTACAACAAACGACAAAATTATATGGCAAATGTTAATACGTACGAAGGTATTTTATTGATTATCAATCATTTTGTATTTTATCGATTTATTTATAATAATAGTGTTAATAATATAACCGATTTGAATTCACCAATGATCGTATTTCTCGTTGATTTGATTTAATCATTTCACTAAGAGAAATTAAAAAAGGAATTATTGTTATGATGATTATTATTATCATGATTATTATGATTATTTACTATAACAAGTATCATCTAATATATTTATATATATTTCGATATAATCCAAAAAATTACTTCTAGTATTGTGAAAAGTTATTTTAATAGTCTTGGAGATATAAAAGAATATTAAAAATGTAGTACGTAAAATTAAGGATGAAGAATAAATGTAATAATGGGATCTATAATATCATCAATTAATAGATCTTATGCATAGTTATTAATATTCAAATATTTTTAATTAAAAAAAGTTAAAACATTTGCAATGCCATGAAGCAACCCAATAAAAGTTTTGTGTTTGTTTAAAAGAGATAAAGAAAAAGGAATTGAACTTCTTGTTTCAAATATACAAAAATAACAATAACAAAACTACCCCTGTTCTTGATCGCTAAAAATATTCCAAAATACACAAAAAATCAAGAAATGGCTAAAAATCTATAATTTATAATAATTTAGATTATTTATTGTGCTGCAATTCACCTTAGGTATTAAGGAAAATCCGAAAATAATTATCAAACGATATCACATATTAAAGTTAGTAATTTACTAATCGAACATTAAAAATGATACTAAGTAACTTAAAACCTAAAATATAAATAATCAACTGCAAAAGTTTCGACCTATTTTCTAAAATTTGAGCGAATAATTAACGTCTAAAGTTCAAACGTTCGAAAATTATATATAAAATTTAAGAGTTTATCGTTCGCTTAATTCTCGAAAGTAGATGCATTATGTCTTAAACTTTAAAATTATTTAGTATCGTTTTGTAAAGTACTAACTTTTATATTTGATAACATTTGATAATTATTTTGGTTTCTTTTTTTATACCAAACCATGTTTTGAGTAAATTTTGTTCATGAATGATAGTTGATATCTATTTTAATATTAATTAATTGAATCCGATGAAATAAATGAAATTCTTACACTTACAGATGTCCAATTTTAATAAAAAGACATCACTAGAGGAATCCAATAATAAAAAAAACATATCCATTGTGCGTTGGAGTTTTAATAGTTATTATGTGTAGTTTTATTTATCATATATACAAACGATGTATTATTATAATGGTGATAATATGATGAATGTGAAGATGAAAATTCATTTTTAGAATGCTAAGCAAAGACAATCTTAAAGAGGTAACATTGAAAATAATTAAACCCGATTAAATATAAACAAAAAGTGGCTTATTAGCAAATTCTCACTGACAAAATGAAAAATAAAGGAATTGCTTATTTGTAGAACAATTTTTTAATCGAGCCACAGATTATATTCCTATGCCAGACAAAAGCGTTGCTACTATCGATCCCTACTTTTACTATGATAAAAAAATTACTGTATACGTACATATTTTAATATAATGTTGAGATTATTCAAATTGAATGGTTAGACAAAATTTATAAGTATTTAAAAGTACATGGTTGTTCTGTCATTTAATATAAAATTTTTAATCAAAATTAATTTTTCAAAACTCATTAGAAAAATCTTAATTTTTATTGGGCAATTAGTATACATATAATTACTGATGCCAACCGAGAAGAAGTACGCATTGGGCTTCATTTTGATTCAAAGGGTTCATAGTGCCAAGTCGCTAAAGTTATGAGATGCGATAACGTTTGATAATTATTTCGAATTTTTTTTTTTTATACCAAACCATGTTTTTAGTAAATTTTGTTCATGAATGATAGTTGGTATCTATTTTCTTATTAATTGAATTCGATGGAAGAAATGAAATTACTGCACGCTTACAGATTCCAATTTTAATAAAAAGACATTACTAAAGGAATCCAATAATAATAAAAAATATATACATTGCGCGTTGGAGTTTTAATAATTATTTTGTGTAGTTTAATTTATAATATATACAAACGATGTACTATGCATTATTATAATGATGATAATAATATGAATGTGAAGATAAAGAAACACATGAAAATTCATTTTTTGGATTCTAGAATGCTAAGCGAAGGCAATAAAATATAACCTTATTGAGGTAACATTGAAAATAATTAAAAAGTGGCTTATTAGCAAGACCCACTGACAAAATGAAAAATAAAGGAAATGGCTTATTTGCAGAACAATTTCTTAATCGAGCCACAGATTATATTCTATATAAACCCATCTGTCGAATAAACAAATAATAAACAAACAAACAAACAAAAATAAATTCAAAATGAATTCAAAACTCATTTTCTTCTTGTGTGCTTTATACACTATTGTTCTTTTAGCAAATGCAGAACCTGGGGTCCACAAACGTAACCCTGAATCAGAGGCTGCCAACTTCAAACGTGATGCTGATGCCACCGCTGACCCCTACTACTACTATTACCCATACTATTACTACAAACGTGACCCCAGTGCCAACCAACAAAAACGTGATGCTATTCCTAATGCCGATCCCTACTACTATCACTACTACAAGCGTGATGCCAATCCAAACGTCAACAGAAGAGGCATGCGTTGGAGTTCTTTTTGATTCGAAAGGTCCATAATGCCAAGTCACTAATAGTTATGAGATGCATTTTGGGTATGATCAATTTGTTCCTTTGACGATCATAATTTAATTCACTTTTTAACAAAAAGCATCGAAACAATTATTTTAAATTGTTGATTAAATATTCTGAATTTTTTATCAATTAATATAATTATTGTAACTGGGTCGATTAATATAATTTATTGTAATTGGACCATTTGCCAAGTTGCTGCAAGTTATAATTTGTTCCTTTGATGATCGCCATTTCATTTTTGTAAAAACCCTTTTAAAAAAAAAGCTTCGAAACAATTATTTCAAATTGTTCATTTCGTTATTTGATTCGCTGAATTTTGATCAATTAATTATAATTAATATGATTTATTGTAATTGGATCAATTAGTTGCATGTAACAATATTTGCAACTTTCACTTTTATTTAAAAGAGTCCCATAACCATTTTCCAAGTTGCTATATCAAGCCTAAAAGTTATGATCAATTTGTTCCTTTGACAGTCTTTTGTAAAAAGAATGATTTCCGCGTTTTTTGGATTTTTAATAAATTAAATTGGTATAAAAATCAATTTTTATTTTCGTGTGGTGTGGTATCTTTTCTTTAATGTATTTTTAAAATTCAAGACTTTCCAAAATTTCATCCGAAATAATATAATAAACTAGCATAAAATAGCTATTTCATTACGAAGTATGACTGAAAAATACAAAAAATTTTGAAAATAATCTGGTACATTTTGTAATCTTATATTTCCATTGAGGGAAACAATTCGCTGATAATCTCTCATAGTTAGTGTTTTTTTTATAAAATACATGGTAATAAATCTGAAATAAGAACCAACCAAGACAATCATAAAGCTTATGATCATTTGGTTCTTTGATTGCTTCGTAAAACGATGCCAAGTATATTGAAATTATTCCAAAAAGTAATTTTACTAATGATGCATTGTTTGCAATAAAATAACTAATCAGAAATGAGTTTGTAAATAATAAAAAAAAGGCTAGACACTGATAATATCCAACACGTCTGTATATAAATATCGAAGAAAAAATCAAAAGACAAATAACCAATATATAAAATAGCAGATCATCCGTATCACATTGAAGAACGTTTAATTTAAAAGAAATGATAAAATATAATATGATAGAAATTGGAAGGTGTACAATGTATATATGGATGAAGTGGAAATATAAATGAAATAATATTAAAATACATTGAATTGGAGACAGCCTATCATTAAAGTGCATATCTGTCAATGAGATTTTTCTCGTAGAACAATGTATGTATTTTATGATCATAAAGACCACACTCACGCAGAGTGATGAAGAATTCCAAAGTAACATGAAGAGTACTAGGGTATAAACTTTGGTTTGTTTGATTGTTTAGTATTCAATAATAATTTTTAAAAGCATCAAAAGAGGAATCACGTAAACTGATGCAAAAATGCATGTTGTAATGATAAGTTGAAACCGAATAGACTTTTTAAAGTCCGGCTTTTGTACAAGGAAGAAAGAATATATAGTACCAAGAAATGTGTAAATAAGATAATCATAAGTTTCGCTCTTTGGATGTTTCCAATATGTAAAATTAGTTTGGGAATGAACAAATCCAAAGAATATTTGCGCAATGATTGATAATTTTAAAGCACGAAACATTGCAAGCACATTGTTGACAGTGTGATTTTTTTTTAAATACTGACTGACTGTAAATAGCCGATCTCTAAAAATTCGTGATATTGGAGTTGCGTGATTTGATCAACTGACAATTTATTTCCATATGACAAATAAGTTAATCTATTTAGCTTATCAATTGCCAAATATACAAATCACAATATCATGCGTTTTTAAATTCGCAAATCAGAGATCAGTATAGAAGTTTGTGAAATATGCATAGCCACCAATAGAAAATAGTTAGTTTATTGATCAAGATTGATAATGTATCATTCTATATCTGGGATAATCGTTACATAATCTATTTCGGGTGTTAAATCTATTTCGGGATGTTTGACAAGTATATAATTAGGCATTCGTCAGCCTCTGGCTAATATGGGATGTACAACTCGATACTCGATCATATGTCCAAAAAATCGCACAAAATTACAGCCACCAGGACCTTTATTGATATATCAAAAAATACTTAGAATAAATATAGTATAGATAATGAGAATCTAATCGTCATATGGAGATGGTAATTTAATAATAAAGATAATGTTAATAATTAGGATTTTCTATAAAAAAGAGAAAGTTAGATATACTTTATTATATAGAGAGCACGCATAAATAACTAGATCCATACCCGTAATAGCAACAATGCCTCCACAAAATTATATACAGTATCTCTATCTGTGAATTGTAAAGAATATCTACCGAACGTAATCTAAAAAGTCGTCTCCATCCCGAATGAGAATGTACAGTTATTTTAAAAAATGAATTATTACTTATAAATGTTATTTTATCGACTTGATATTGAAATGCATTAAAATAATTATTACTATACAAAAAATTAAATGATACAAATAAATTGATATTTTCTCATTTATATCATTATCTTATATTAAGCTGCAATACAAAATTTTTGTTATAGTAAAATTATCACTTATTTCACTTATCTCTTATCTGCTATTGTTATATTATTTCAAAATTTTAAATTATTACATAACAATTTTTATTTAATAATTTAGTGTAGTATTACTCGAAATTTTTATCTTATTCAAAAAAAGTAAATTCTTTAGAGTATCGATCAAAGTGAAAAGTGAAAGTTAGAGTAAAACAAGTTCAAATATAAAAAATATAGATTACTTTGTATTTGTTAAGAACAAAGTGATAAATATTAAAAAAGAAATAGTTAATTAAGAATTTTCTCAAAAGGAAGAAGTTTCTAGGAGGGAAATGATATTTGAATCCATTTATTTAACAAGAAACAAGGATAAGAGGTAAAACACATTGTATTGTATTCATTGTATTTATAAAAATCAAATTTGTTAAAAACTTTATTTACAATACAAATTAAAATACAAGATTTGTCATTAAAAATTATTGTAATTAATTAGTTAATTAAAATTAAATAATCATTAAATTATATATATTAAATTTATTTATACATATGTAAAGAATTAAAATTAAATCAAAAAATTACAAGGGAAAAAAGTTATCTCTGTTGACATGGTGAGTAATAATAATTATAAATTTATTTATGATTTCATTTTTTTTTTCTTAAATAAAAATTATTTATTAAAAGAACCTCCAAAAAAATTATTAGGACAATTTTTTTTGAATTTATATGATTTAACATCAAATTATCAAATAGTTCTCAATTAATTATTTATTCTGTTATACAATATTTATCTTAAATCTGTATTTCATTTAAAAGTTAATTTTGATGCAATAAATTTTTATAGAAAAAAATTTTAAAAATTTTAATTTGAAAATAATGAGAATCACAAGAAAGATGTACTTATCATTAGTTTTGTTTTTTAATGAAATTTATAGAAAGATTAATATCATATTAAATACAAGTAAAAGAAGTAAAAAAATTCTTACTTTATCATGAAAAGATATATTAAATAATATATATGTATAGAAATTTTAATTAATATTTTTTACTTTTCTATTTACATATTCTTATGAGATTATTGAATTATTTATGGAATTTTTTATCAAATTTTTTGTGCATAATAATAAGGAAATTGGTGGATGATTATAGAATAGTTTAAATGAACTTATTATGCTTATAAACTTTACTACTGTATAATAGAACAGATAAATGATGATAATAATTATTACAATAGTCTTTTATTCTTTATTCTCCTTTTGAAAAAGAATACAAGCTTTTACTATTTAAGAAAAAGATATCGAAATATATTTTTTTTGACTATTAAAATAATTAAATAAATTAAAAAAAGTTCAGTCAAGTTGGATTAATTGATTAAAACTAAAAATTTTCTATAAAATTTATTAAATGTATTCATTATTTATAATATATAAAAATGTATATAATAATTTCATACTCTATACTAAGTGTTAAGATTTTATAATATCAAAAAAAAATAAATAATAATAATAGTAATTTAACAAGTAAAACACATAAAAATATATAAAGTTAAACATATTCAAATAATTATCACCTTATTAAATTAAATATAAATAAACAATTATGAAATGAAAAATAAATATATAATTGATACTTAATAGCATTTATTTGATAAAAAAAATTTAAGTTTTTTTCAAAATTATTCTTATTTTAGATTTTGAAATATTTGGAAAGTTAAGTTTACTAATATAAATTGCTTGGGATGTGTTTTATAATTTTTCAGAGTTGTAGTTGTTTCAGTTGTTATTTGATTTTAGAAAATTCTTTAACTTCTTTAATTTGAATTTGAATTGGAATTGAAATTTCATTTTTATTATTTCCAGTATCTATTTTCAAAGTGTAATTTGAGCCAAGCTTTATCATGTGTTGTAATATGAAAGAATTCCAAGTAATTATTTCATAAGCTACAAATGTAAATAAATAAACATCAGCAACCTTTATGTATACTTCCCTCACTTAATACTTCAGGAACTATATATGATAATACTTCAGAAATGGTTTTCTTTTGGGATTTTTTTATGTTTCTATAATTTACTCAATTGAGAATCTAATATATATAGTGTTACGGTCTACACAGAATAAGTAGAAAGTTAAGTCAATCAGTTTCAATAAATTTAGATCAATCACACAATAATTCAATGTATTACTAATACACTATCTCTTGTACACAATATTACAGCAAGACAGGCAATCAGTTGATCTTACTAACACTCAAACAATACAATTATATGTAATATCTAAAGTACAATAAGCAAGTGGAGTAAAAGTATTTTTACTATATACTTCATATACTATCAAAAATTTAACAAACTTTTGAAGTAACTTGTCAAGAAATATAGAAAAGTTTATTAAAATATTTACTAAAAATTTATTAAAAGAATAGATCAATAGAGATATATTACTGTATTGATGTATCTTATCCTTATTGTTATTCCAATACACAAAACTATTA